TTTTAATACTTGACGTGCTGTTGGAGTGTGAGCAAAGTAACATTTATGAAGGGGTTCAGGGAAACCGGCAGGCCAGACTTGAGTCCTGGAGATGGGAAGTACAGTGCCTGCACTCTGAAGGAGGGGTGTTAATATTGCAGTTTAAAAACTGTAGTGTAAAGCACCCTTCTGGCAAGACAGTGATGGAGTGAATGATGGTGAAAGTTTTCTTTTTCGGGCCACCCTGCCTTGGTGGGAATCGGCCAGTGTGATAATAATAAAAAAAAAAAAATACCTGTATATAGTGGATGAAAGCAAATATACATTACAGTCTACTGCTGAGTTTGTTTGCTCTGGTGTTAACCCTCCTACATTACGAAGGAATCTAAGCGGAGATTAGTGATTAATAGCTCCTGTAGCGGGAGATATCTCAGTTTGGTGTGCCACAGTCACTTCAACCTTTAATTTGGTACGAATAATGTCACGAAGCTGCACAGCAGTGAGAGTGCTATGTTATTCTACGCCAAGGGAAAGAGCAATTTGCCAGCAATACTGTATAGGTAGTTTAGGAGAGTATATGTACTCAGACACCAACCACCTCACCTGTGTTGGTGGCATAACCCACTATAAAACAATATTTGCAATGTACGCAAGAAGCAGCAATAGCGCAGTACGACTTGCAGGGTACACAGACAGTAGCAAGGCTGACAGGTAAGACAAAAAGCACTCTGAATGATACCAAGACCAGCTTTAGCTCTAGTCCAAGCTTCAGCTCCCATATTACAAACACAGGTAATAAATGGCCTGCAAGACCTGGTCATAATGGGAACTGGAGCAAACTAACTCAGCAGTAGACTATAATATATATTTGCCATCACCCACTATATACAGGTATGTACAATATGTACAGATGGAACAATAATAAGTGTACACCATGGTTACATGGCAAAGCAGAAGGCAGAGAGAGTGCACCGTACTCAACCAGCAGGTAGGTAAGTCTACCAATGCTTACCGCAAGTGAACCACGTTGCTTCAGTTTTGGCAGGCTTGCCTGTGATTGGTCAATGAACCAAGGTACTGATTTAATGACAGGTACCCTATTAATCATTAAACCCTTAGCACCCAGTTCGCTGGTTGGAAGGCAGCCCATATGGGAGTGTGACATATGCCAAATAAATTGTAACATACTCTTTGCATGCCATACGTACCATGTACATACAGTAAGTATTATTAACAATGACTTCTAAAGCAAGGGATCATGTCAAGAAGCAGCATGTGGCCTTAACTATTAAGAAGAAACTTGAATTAATAAGGAAACTGGAGGCTGGCATTTCTGTGGCCCAAGTATATGAGGGGTATGGTGTAGCAACACAGCATCTTGACATTCACAGAAGCAGGGGTCAATTCTCAGATCATGGTCCTGCCTCTTAATTTGCTACTCTTTAGATTCACTCCTGTATAGCCTCTAGAGCCCTACTGTACCTGCTCTTAAAACTATGTATGGAGCTTGCCTCCACCATTTCCTCACCAAGATCATTCCATTTCCCAAACACTCTTGAGATTGCAGAAGCATTTCTATGAACATTTTTTTTCTATAATCATGATTCTTCTGCATTAGCTCTGGACCTCCTTAACATCCCTGTTGCTCTTTTGTGCCTTTAACTTCCAATGGTGTACCAGAGTTCCCATTTCTTGCCTCTCAAACAGCCTATCCCTGTCTGCTTTTATCAATTCCCCCCGAGTATTTTGCATGTCGTTAATATGTCCCCCCTGGTTTTTCTGTCCTCTAATGTCAATCAGACCAATTCAGGTAGCCACTCCTAGCTCATGCCCCTTAGCTCAGGAACAAGCCTTGTTGCATACTTCTGCACTTTCTCCAGTTTAACATGCTTTTTCAGGTGCAGGTTCCATACTGGTGCTGGTACTGCAAGAGGGGCCTAACATATGTTGTATAAAGGGCCCGTAATGACTTTGTTGAGATTCCTGAAGGCTATTACCTGGAGAGAGTTTTTATTTTCCTTATTAGTTTCATATCATTAGCAAAAGGGATATAGCTCAATCAATCCCATTAACCATGCAACCAACCTTGATAATTCTCATGAGGTATAATAATATATCCTTATTTCTGCAAGTACATGTACAAGGTATACAGGCCTAGCTGACATCAATAACATACTATATAGAAAATACCTTTTTATGCAAAGCATTTCGGGTAAATTAGGTCAATTTTGTCCCAGGATGCGACCCACACCAGTCGACTAACACCCAGCTACCTATTTTACTAATAGGTGAACATGGACAACAGGTGTAAGAAAACACGCCCAATGTTTCGACCCTTTCCGGAAATCGAACCTGGACACTCACCGTGCCAAGCTAGAGCTTTGCCTACCAGGCCCGCTCCACTTTGTTTATTTTGCAAAGGTTACGATGTGTGAATACATTATATAACGTGTAAACTTTAAACCCCATCAACCAACCAGCCTTATTAACCCTCACGTAGTAGATAGACTTTAGACCCCATTAACCAACCCACCACTCTTAATAACCTTATAATAATTATACTTTAAACCTCAGAAACAGACTCACCAGCCTTAATGATAATGATCTTGTTGGGTTTGTAAGGGTCGCTGACAGCAGCCTTAATGATCCCTTATTGTTGCTGGTGGTCTTTCAGAGCTATGACAGATGTACTGTATGAACCCTGGTTCCTGAAGCTCAAATTCAAATGTTTATTTCTCTTTATAGATTACAATGTGTGGTTTATATATTATAAGATAATTATAAAATAAGTACTTATTACAAAGAATTCCACTAGTATGTCTAGGCATTTCGGGCAGACTAATACTATTTCTTACTCTATATTGACACAGATTATGGATCATATTGGTATTAAAGTGAAGTAGCTAGATTTACAAAAGTGAGGTAGGTTCAACACATTTAAAAAATTAACAATTAGTTTATCAATTAATGGGAATGGTTTCATCTTGGCATGATACAGTTTCTATTAAAGCTCCTATAATGGAGTGTCTTTGACAAGTCTGGTGTTTAAAGGTTTACTTAGCTCTTAGATACTTCCCAACCTGCCTGTGGTATCGAAGGATTCACTTAGCGCCTAGATACTTCCACAACTGGGAAGGAAAAGCTCCTAATGCTATACGTTGAGCCCAGTTCTGAATAAGTCGGTGTAGAATGGAGGTCATCATAGAACCATATACCATATTTAAACTTGCTACTTATTAGAGTGAGCCACACCCTACTTCACTCCTGAAACCCTGTCCAAAATGTCCAGGCGTTTTGCGCAAGACTTTCAAGTAGTCAACATGCTTTATGTTAAATTAGGATCATCTAGCATTATTCTGTAAGTTATACTATCCTCTCCAGCGGCGGCTGATCGACCTTTATTTAATGCCTTATCTAATTCATAGTCGGTGAAGAGGCAATCATTCGTAACAATATTTTGACTCGTAAATTATTATAATTAAAACTAAGCGCTGAACCACCAGGGTCATACAGCGTTACTTGACTCTTAAAATTAATCGATTTCGACCTTCCATCAGAAGCACTCGCTATATGAGATGGAAGATTTTCATGTCTGGATATTTTTGACCAGTTATTTACAAGGTTATATCCTTGTTCAAGAGGAAAGGAATGAAAAATATTACCATTCTTTTTTCCTGGTTGTTTTCAAGGGACAGTGTTCATTATAGAGGCAGTGAACTTTTGGAGAGAAAACTTTGATACATGAACGAATATTTTGATTATTATGGAAACTTCCCGACCTTATACAGCAATCACAATGAGTCTTTGTCAGACTCTACTACGTATATTTACATCATAATTTTTTTTTGTTATTTCATATAGCAATTTACACAATGCAATACTGAGAGATACTATCTAAAACCTTACGCTAATCTATAAGCATTTCTGGCAAAGTTTAAATGGAGACGTTGACATGAAATGCATTGTGTGGACAGATAATGCCATACACGGGTATGTTATCTTAGTGTCTCCAAACATACAACAATTAGGAGACACCTCCAAACAAGTACTACAGGAAATGACAAGTCACTTCATTGTTAAAGATAAGCTATCTGAAATTTTGGCTTTGTATCAGCTAAATGAATATACTGATATGATGAGATTATAACCCAATAATGAATATTTTTATAGTATTAAGATACCTTAAGTTTCTTGATATTATATCTCCATATTGTATCGTGTTGATTAGCTGTTAAGTAATTGTAACGATGAAGTGACTAATATCTGTCAAGGTAACTATGACCAGAGGGATCTGAAAGATCCATTATGACATCCATTTTTTTGTGTTATTCCTTCACAGGATGAGCACAGAATCCACATTAGATTAATTCAGTGGCTCAGGCGGCACCAACAGTCAGACCGAGTGAATTTTAACCCCCATTACCTTTTTCCCTTCTAAATTTCGGCAGAGCTGGATGCTCATAATCCCCTTAAGACAGGACACACAGCTTTGCTCCTGTAGGTATATCTGGAGAGGATTTCGGAGGTCCACGCCCCTGCGGCCCTGTCTGTGAGCAGGCTAGGTGCAAAGAGGTAATCACGTACACACGTATGTATAATTTTACCAAAAGATAGGATCTACTAGATTTGAAAAAACCTGCTGTGTAGGCGAAATGTTGTCTGAATAAAATTTACACTTACTGCTTACGTCTCTATCTGCTACAGAAAACTACACGTTCATTAACCTGTTGAAAAGTATGTAAATGTAAAAAAAATCGATAAAGGTATTACAGACACCTGCAAGGACATCTGAAGACTAATCGGACTATTCAGAGGGTTAATAACCCAAGAAAGCCATTGTGATTGATTTTCGTTGTCAAGGAAAATCCTAAGGTATATGTTTCATTCAGGAACTCTACATAGGATTTTACAGTCAGTAGTATAAATTTGTTCAACAGTTATCAGACACACAAATGCTGTTGGCATACATAAATAGTATATTATGTAGATTTTATAAAATATGGAATAATTTAAATAACACGTTCATTAGTATTACAATGTTGCATTTGTAATTTAATAAATATAATTTACCAAGATTGTACCAACATATGTGAGATTCAGCTACGTGTACCTGAAGGCACATCGTATTACCGACACCGCGACGGGGACGCATCTCACCTGGTGTCGTCTGGGCCCTAAAGAGGGCCATTTATTCCTTCCAGTTATATACCGTTTAAGATTAATTCATTCAGATGTGAATGAAACCTCAGGTTTGACTGTGTGTTTTGTCACCCAGCCCTCCAATTCAGCCAATGAATTGAGAAAATTCTCGGGTCCACATTGTTCCTGTACGAACTTCCGTAGTGAAGCGAGTGCATGCATGGCCACGCTGGGCAGGATGGGTCCGACCACACTGCCCATCTCAGTGTCATCCCCTCCCAGTGCCTGCTCAGCCTCTGTGGTTCCAGCCTCATTCTGCTCCATCGTCGTCTGCACCTGACTGTCCACGTTGAGATAGGACTCAAAAGTTACATCTCCAGGGATGTCAATGCCGGATCTCCTGGCGCGTTCCAGTAATGCATGCTCATCCTCGCAGCCTAGCTTAGCAGAGTCAATATCTAGTTGCTCGAGTCCAGCTTGTTTAAAACTGTCCACGATGAGTTCCGTTTTAACTTGCTTCCACGCCTCCTCCAAAAACTCCATTGCTTCTAACACTGTAACTTCGTAGTCCTGCCCTTTTTCACTGTGTTCGATTAGTCTTTCCAACACAAAGCGGCGGTAAATGGTTTTTAAGTTCTGAATAATTCCTTGCTCAACTGGTTGTAGTTGAGAAGTTGTTTCTTTGGGAAGGAATATTAGCCGAACACATCTAAGGTTATCGATGTTTGGATGTGCTGGGCATGCATTGACTAAAATTACAATATTTCTGTTTAAATTTTGGTATTGCTCATCCAGTTGCAGTACCCAATTTTCAAAAATAGACGATGTCATCATTGCTGAATCATTTGCTTCATAAGGTAACGGTAAAGTTTCCACGTTGTGAAAGATTTTTGGGTCCTTCATCTGCCCAATTACCAACAATGGAAGTTTGTCACTGCCATCCATATTAACAGCAACCATAAATGTAAGTCGTTCTTTAACCCATGTCCACTTGTGGCCGTCTTCTCCTTTCATAGCAAGGGATCTGTCGGGTAGGAGATTATAAAAGAGAGCTGCCTCGCTGGCACTGAAAATATCTCGAGATTTGTAGTCTCTCAAGAGCGAAGGAATTGTACTGTAAAACCAGGTACTTGTTGGGTCTTCGGCAGGAGCAGGGGTCGTAGGTTCCTCCTCCTCTGCTTCTAGTGTTGATGGGAACCATTTATTCAATTGTTCTTGTGTTTCTACTGTTGAGGTAGTATTCAGGTTAGGAAGGGAAGTGTTAAACCATGTATCTGTGGCACTATCTGTTGGTTCTGTGGCAGATGTTCCTGTTGTTGGCATTGAAGGTGGAAACCAAGAATTTGGTGAAGATTCAGAATCAGAATCAGCTTCAAGCGGAACAGATGGCAGAGGACTAGGCTGTCTATCAGCTGGCTCATTAAAGGTACCACCTCCCGAATCCTGGTTGTTTTTAGGATTGAAGGAGAGTCCATGCCTTGCTTTAAACCGATCCAGCCAGCCAACACTACAAGAAAACTCCGGGTGGCCAAGTTCTTGAGCCAGGGTGACGCCCATGCCTTGGAGGACGGGGCCTGTAATTGGTATATTAGCCGCCCTAGCGTATCTAAACCATGTAAGAAGGGCTTCTTCTACGTCAGGGTATGCTGCTGTGCGCATTCGTCTACGTCCAGCTGCATATCTTTGAGATTTGAATTGTGTCAGTATTCTATCTTTGTTTTTCATTATAGTTGAAAGCGTAGAAGGTCTTAAGCCCCATTCTCTAGCGATATCAGCTTTCTTTTTCGCACCCCTTGCTTCCACCTGCTCTATCAATTTGGCTTTGTTTGCAATGGTCAGTTCTTGTCGGTCACGTTTAGCTCTAAGACCACCAGCTCCGGTAATACCTATTCCAAATGGTAAACCCAAATTCTTCATTAATTCAAAGGGAAATGCAAGACCAGAAGTTTTTGCTGTGTCAGTAGATGGTGAGGCATTGTCTTCTTGAACCGTGTCAGACTGCTGATCTTCACTTCTCCCACCCTCGTTTGACCGTGAATCATCTTTTTCCACAGGTGGAGCGCCACCTTTCTTCATTTTGGATAACTGAGCGAGGTATTTTGACATTTCAAAGGGTGGCGGGTCACCTTTAGATTCCTCAGTCTGGATATCATTGCTCTCGTCTGTTTCCATTTCATTGAACTTTCCATTGGATTGTGTTTCTTTGCCGGATGTTCGACTTATACTTTTTGACTTTTCTGAAACCTGGACACCTTCATTTTCCTTGTCAATGGAATGACTGGATACCTTTCCTCTTTTTGATCTGTCTGAGTATGGGCCTGGCTTTCTTATTTTTTCTGATTTGGATGTATTAGCTTTGGCCATTTCAAGTTGCTTGGCGTACATCTTGGCGATCTCCGAGGGTTTGGCAGCATTTTTCATCATTTTTAATTGTTGCGCATAAAGCTTTAAGATCTCGGACGGCTGTGCAGCAGTTTTGGCTTTTTCTAATTCCTCTGCTTCTCGTTTTGATTTTTCCGCTTCTGCCTCCCGCTTTGCTTTATCTGCCTGTTCTGCTTCCTGCCTTGCCTTTTCCACTTTCTGAGCTTGTACCTTAGCTTGTATTGCACTCTGAGCAGCTCGTTTAGCTATCTCCAGCTGCTGGGCATAGCCTTTAGCAAAATCAAAGGGATGACTAACTCCCTTCTGTGCACTGCCTTTAGTCTTGACTGTGGACTGCGGGGCGGTCTTGGGCATCTCCATTGGTACCTCCAGTCCCTGTTGTACATCGGGCATGTGGTGCTGTACATCTGATTTGGCAGGACCAGTGGACTCAGTCTCATGGCACTGCTGAAAAGTTTTACCATAGTCAAAGGGGTGAGCCACATCCATGCCACCTTGGGTCATGTCAAGAGATGGCGCTACACCTCTGGCCATGTCGTAGTGATAAGAGTGACTACCTCTCGGCATATCGTAGCTCTGAGGTCCTCTTGGCATATCGTATACTGTATTTCCCCTTGGCATTTCAAACGGTTGGCCAACGCCTCTGGACATATCATACTGTTGTGCGACTCCTCTGGGCATATCATACGACTGATGGATTCCTCTTGGCATTTCAAATGACTGTGGCACAGTTCGTGGCATGTCAAATGGGGGAGCTACGGCCCTAGTCATTTCAAAGGTGTGTCCGACGCCCCTGGGCATTTCGTAAGGCTGGTGTGCACCCTTGCTCATGTCAAACGACTGATACGCCCCACGAACCATCTCCGACGATTGCGTAACATACCTGGTCATGTCAAAGGATGGATGGTCACTGCGCGGGATGTCAAACTGTTGCGCCACGCCCCTTGCCATTTCACAAGGCTGAGCATCACCCTTCGCCATTTCTCCTGAATTCGACATCATGTACAATTATTTTTATTTAATTACGAAAAATATAATTGGCATATATTTTTTTCATCGGCTAGAAAATATTTGTAACATAATTAAGAGCACTGGCATTATATTTTACTAGATGGTAATATACACAATAAGGTTGACTTGCCCAGTTATACAGGGGAACAGTTTGTACTAACGAGGTTGCAGTGAGTTAAGAAGGGGGTGGGGGGGGGCGACACAAGCCTATTGCATCCTCATCATCTCCATTCAACACTGACAGCTCTCTTGTCAACACTAACTGTCCTCTGCAGAGCCTGCAGCCACAAAACACGAATGTATAAAGGCTCAGTGAATTTACCGGTGCTGAGTGAGTGGAGTCAAGAGCAGCTTAGCAGGACGTCAGTACTATCCCTCACCAGCCTTAACACTGCTTTGTACACAGTAAACGCGACCCTTGCTCTAGCCAATGTTGCCACCATTAAGGACAGAACCATCATCTACTTTACATTATACTTAAGGATATTTTACACTATTCCTAAGTCAGTATCTATATGTGTATGTGTTTAAGTGGTATTTATATAAACATAACTAACGCTAATTATAACACGGAGTGAAAGGCTTTGTATAATCACGCAACTAATGTATATAAAATCAACTCTATGCAGAATAAGCTCTGGCAACAGTGTGGGCGAGAAGCCTGGCTGAAGGTTGCCAGTTGTCGCTACATCAATGATGGCAGACTTGACTACTCTACCTGGGATCGATTTTATAGGCTTTAAACTTCGCGTTTGAACCACTCAGATATAGCCAGTAGGTTTCTCTCTAGGTTAACTAGAATTACCGTATTTAAGCCTCTAACTTCGCCAGTGATGAAACTGAAGCTGTACATGGAATAGATCTGGTTATAGGCAAAGGCATTTTTTTAAATTGGATACATCAACAGTGTGCTGCCACCCTATTTTATGGTAATTACACAATGGGGATAATGGGGCAGTGTTCGGGGGATCAAGAGCATTAACCAGGCACACGAAGGGGACTCGATCGCTTACGTTATTAGGAATACTTGATGCTGATGAGGGACTCTTGATTCAAGGAATTACACCTGTTCTTCCTTTTCTTGAATCAAACCTGACTTTCTCATTCCCCAGGCGTTGTTTGAACTCTTAAAGAGTTTACCGCTTCTCCAATATAAAAATGTTCCCAACTCTTATGCATTACTTAAAATTGTAATGCTTACCGAAAGTAAGATTTACATTGAATTAATATGGACATGAAAAGCTCTGCAAGAAATAGTGATAATATGGTCCAACCTCGCTTATATGAACACGGGAGAGGAATAAACCGTGTACGAACAAACCAAGCTGACATAATTTAATAGTACTGGATTTCATTTGCACATATTGATCGCATGAAATATATTCTACGTACCATTATTATTATTATTTACTATCATTATGGTAAGTAGTTTTGGATACAGAGGAAAATATATTGCTATATTTTTCATTTTGTAGTCATATAAGGTTGTGTACAAAACCTTTGGAACACAAACATGTTGAGTAGCAACTAAATATCAGTGACTGAATATTATATTTTTTAATACATTCGTGAGGGGAGCTCCTTGATCCGTTGGGGTCATACAGTGCCTGGGAAATGGGAGGCAATCATGTTTGATCCAAGGAAGGTAGAAGGGGTACTCCAATTCCTTAGATCAAGAGCCCTTTGCCAGTATCTGTAACCAAATGAATTATAAACATATTTTATGTAAATGGTTTAGAAAGCCGGTAAGCTGATGAATGAGAATTTGTGCAACATTTGGGTATCTTTATTCTTCAGGCCACATCATCTTGGGATCTTGATGGAGGGAATTCTTGAAAGCTTTCCTAACCTATGGGCATGACCTACTTCTACTAGTGAGTTTTTCAACTGGTGACTCCACACACCACTACTTCACCTCATCTGTCTGCAGTATATACCTGGTGGGTGTTCCGGGAGTCAACATTCCTGCAGCCCGGTCCATGACCAGGCCATTCTTCAAGTATATGCTGTACTTTTATCAAAATTGATGGACTGAGCACATCAACTCCAGGCTGAGGGACTAACTGATTACCCCAAACTCCTCATTTTCCACCGTTCTTCTCTGTATTGGACTGAAGAAGCCATTGACTTGCAAAACGTTTCCAGAGCACTAATACCCAAATGTTGTACAAATGTCTCATGTATCAATTATAAACCTATTTTAACTTCTATATATGTTTAAAAGAAATAATAATATAATCAAATTTAAGTGGTAAACCAGAAAGGGTTATACATCTCTGCAGAAAAAATAGAAGGATAATACTCTGTACATTATATTCATATACAATATATCCATTTACATATGAAGATATTCAGGAAAACCAGTTAGCCTCACTTAGAGTTCTGGAGGTAGGAAATATAGTGCCTACACCCTGAAAGAGGGGTGAGGATGCTGCAGCAGTTTGAGGGCCATGTGAACCATGATATCATCATGCTTCTGGCAAGACAATGATCGAATGAATGATAGTGAATGTGTAAGACAGCTACTATAAACAAAAAATGGAAATACTAAATCCTTAGGGGTTATACACCTGGGGAATGGGCAGTAATCAGGTTCACTCTGATGAAGGAAAGGATAGCTCGACTTCTTCAAATTATATGACCTTCATTGGCATCATGGTAGCCCTTGCCGCTTGAAGGTTAATTCACTGGAAACAACATAATCATTATACAGGTGTGAGGAGACTTATTGCTAGTACTATATTCAGGGGAAGGCATTAAGCCCAGAGAGGTCATGCAGTGCCTTGGAAATGAAGGTAATCAGGTTTAATCTAGAGATGGGGATATCATCATGGGAAGGTAATAAACCTGTAAGGGTCATACATTATTTTTATTGGAGAATTTATTACCAAGGGAAAGCACTAAACCTGTAGGGAGTCATATAGAAGAACCTCGGTTTTCGTATGCCCAAGTTTTCGGATTCGGTTTTTGACGACTTTTTTCATCAAAATTTTGTCCCAGTTTTCGTACATCCGCTCGGTTTTCATAGAGTTTTTGTATGATTTGGTTTTCGTCAGACTTTTTAGAATGAATTATCACGAAAACTGAGGTCCCACTGTACTGACTAGGGAATGGAAGGCACTCAGGCTCACTTCAAGGAAGGGGAGGATAAGCCCAGTTCCCCCCTTACAGGCATAAAAGCACCTCCTTTAACCCTTTGACTGTTTTCGACGTATAAATACGTCTTACGAGCCAATGTTTCTGACGTATATATACTCAATAATTCTAGTGACTTCAAATCAAGTGGGAGAAAGCTGGTAGGCCCACATGTGAGAGAATGGGTCTGTGTGGTCAGTGTGCACCACATAAAAAAAATCCTGCAGCACACATTGCGTAATGAGAAAAAAAAATCTCTGATCGTTTTTTTGGAATAAAACGCCGACTTTGAGGTGTATTTTCGTATAGTATTTATCGTTGTATTCGCGTTTTCATGGTCTTAGGTGATAAAATGGAAAACATATTACAGAAATAGAGATGATTTTAATTACTTTTACGATGAAAACGACCTTGAAACTGAGCTCAAAGTAGCAGAAATGTTCGATTTTTAGGAATGTTCAAGAGTAAATAAATCACACCACACGTCCAATACAAGTCAACTGGGGAGTCTAATATTCTTTCACTAGTGCACTGATATTATTTATACCATTTTTACAATAATGCAGTCGTCTGCATAACAGTAAATTTTGTATTTTTTTGTATGAATAAAAAATCAAAATAGAAAGCAATAATAATATAAGAGGGGCCTAGAGATGTGACTAATGAACAGAGCATATGTTATTTTAGTGCCACGAACGTCTACCTTGTTTATTCTGGACCCTATTTTGAAATTGGCATCTTTTTTATTTTGCGTGAAATTGGCCAAATTGCCAATTTCTGACCACCATATTGGGTAGTCCAAATTAGTAAATGGGAGGTTTCTTGTACTCAGCTGATAGATAAAATGGAGTTCTAAAGAAATAGCTATGAGTTTGGTCAACTGGCACAATGGAATTGGCTGAAAATTGGGCTCAAAGTCGGCAAAATCGCCGATACACACATGTCGCCGAGACCGCTAACTTCACGGGAGCATAATTCCACGAGTTTTCAACCAAATTTCGAACTTTTGGTGTCATTACCATCGGGAAAAGATTCTCTATCATTTCATAAGAAAAAATAATTGTTTTTTTTTTTCAAAAATTGAGCGACATAGAATGACAGTTTCAGAGAGGGGCCTGAAACAGTCAAAGGGTTAAGGCATTCTGTTAAACCCATAGGAACTGTATGGAACCTGGGAATTTAGAGGCAATAAATTTTTATCCATGAAGAGGGAAATTCCATCCCTTGGCTCTCAAGAGCCCTTCACCAGTATCATGGCACCTTCTTTCCTTGAAGGGCACATTGTTCAACCCTCTTTCCATTTTTTGTCTACATTAGTAAGAGATGCTGTGCACTAGAACACCAGGTGTCACTTGTATCTGTGGAGGCCAAGTTTTACACTGAGAGGGAGGTGGACAATACTGAGAATGAAGTGGCATAAGCCTTTGACATTTGGCTCAAGAGAAGTGAAACACTGTTGTAATGAAGGCTTACACTATTTTGTGTCCATCCCTCATTGCCTTGCAGCATCTTCCACCAAAAGAAGTTTGTAGCAAAATTAGAAAACCTGCAATAGGAGTTCATAACAACTAACACATCTTTATTATTAACCATAATGGTAATGCAACATTCATAAGAAATGATAGATGTCTGTTGGTCATTCAATGCTGCAAACACATCTTAAAGGGAAAACTCAACAAGTATTTTCTTCAAGTGCCAGACCAACTAAACTGATAGATATGTGAGCCACCTGGCTGCCGCAGGAACCTAGTTTACCAGGCATGAATCAGACAAACCAAGCCCAGGGATGGACTGAAGGAGCAGAAAAACTTGAAACTCATCAAAGGTACCCTACCCTGGTGGGAAATGGCTATTAAAAAAAAAAAAAAAAAAAAAAAAAAAAAAAAAAAAAAAAAAGTTGCAATACAGTAGAATTTCCATATCCACTGATTCAGCATCCATGGTTTCAGCTATCTACTGTTTACTGTAGCTCAAAAATACCTCTAAATTTTGCATAATAATGGCCCCAAAGTGCAAAAGTAGAGATGCTGGCAGTTCTTCAAAACCTAAAAGAAGCTGTGAAGTGCTTCCCATCAGTGAAAAAGTGATAATTCTCCACTTATAACAGGTATGTATAGGATTTATATATAGGGTTTGCTACTATCAGTGGTTTCGGTATCAGAGGTGGGTCCTTGGAACGTGTTCCCTGTGGATATGGGGGTCCTACTGTACTGTAATGTGAAAATATATGATTTTACAATCAACTAATTATTAGCCAAAAGTGACACAATGTTAATCAGCAGAGTTAAAAAAGTGGGTGAAGTTTCATTAAAAACATTACAGAGGATAAATTTATATAATCATTTTATTAAATTCTGTTAAACTTGCCATTAGTACACTGATGTTAAAAGCCATTACAATTTGCTGATTTTAGAAACTATAGTACTGTATATCTATGGCTAAAATTTTTATACACAGTACATTCACCAATACAAAAAAGGTCAAATCAATTAATTTCATAATCATCAATTACAGTCACAATAATATAAAAATTAACAAGAAACTAGGAACCATGTATAAAGTGATCTTTCTTTTTTATCCAAAACATGATATGATAGGCTTGACAAACCATCTTCACTATCATCTTTGTTATCTTGAAGCTTCTCAAGACGACCTTCAGTTCTCCAAACACTGGAGTGAGACAGCATAACATAAGATGCTACTCTTGGATCAAAGCGAATAACAGATAGCCCTACTTGTTCAATTCTATTATACATGTCATCATCTTCAGCTCCCCAGCCATAAAATTTATTGCTAAAACCATTGACTTTTTTAAAATGAACTTGCTGCATGGCAACTGCTCCTCCAAACAGCCTGCGGTATGGAAGATGATATCTGTAAAATTCAAAGACAAGTAAAAGAAATAAACCATTTGAGTACAAATAATTAATTATACTAAAACAAGGATTCTTTAGGCTAAGACAAATAATTTTTACACTAGTCTTATGGCAGTCTGTGTTCATCAAATGCTTGGTTTACAGATGACATTGGTGGGCACAAAGTAGTGTTCTATTCTTAGGCAGTATGAATGCTGTGGAAACTTCCTTTCATGTATTTGCCCTTGTGTATCTAGACATAATTGTGGTCCTCCATGTACTAAAGTCGATTAATAGAAATCATGGAATGGATGGGGTCTGAGCTCATGGTGAGTCTTAAAACTCAGTCCAGTGTGTTAACCACTCGGCCAGTTGGCTCTAATAAGATTCATCCAACTAAGTATATTTCTATACAATATAGGAAAGTTAGCAAGGGCCCCACTGTTTTACAGATGAATCCCACACCAGTGTGGCAGCAGCAAACTCTAGCTAAAGTCCCCTCAAAGCCGCCATCACGATTTATGAAATTGTAATAACACAATTGAAAACAAATCACGTTCCATGATTTGTTTCAAATCATGTTACTACAATTTCCTGAGTCTTAAATTAATAGAAAATTGTCTTTTTGGATAAAATACCAGGTTTTGGACCTTAAAAAAAGCTGAGATAGTAGTATCTGAAGAGAGCCCCTGGATATTGTTGTATACTGGTGTAGAAGAAGTGGAAGGCATCAGAGGAGGGCCAGGATGATGGGTCAAATGGAAATATAGCATAAATGAAAGGCAGTTTTCTTGTCCAAGTGCTAGACAATATTGCATACTTTCCCTTTCTCATAAATAGCAGTCCTTACACTCCAATTTAGACAGGTTCTTGATGATAATACTATGGATAACCTCACACAACTAAGGATGCAAATCTCACACAACTAAAGCTGCAAATGGAATTTAGTGGTCAAATGACAGTACTGTACTTAGTTGAACTGCCATACTACCAACAGCTCTGACACTGTCATGGTGACTGTAGCTCAGTAACTGTCAACTATTCTCTCACCAAGGAAACATGACCCTGATTGCACTGGTTACACAAGGGGTATCTAATGAAAGCATTCAATGTGAAGATGAAATTTAATACGTCAAGTGTCGAATAATGTAAAAGACTGGCACTGTATAGTTCCTGTGGGTTTAGAGCTTCCTCATAAATGTAACAACACTAATAAAGGGAAATGTACCAGAGTATAGTGGAACCAGCACTTATATATGGGTGTAAGGAATAGAGGTTAAACATCACAGTAAAAATGTGGCTGGAGACGTAAAGTTTGAAAGCAATATTTGGAGTGAATATTATGCATAGAATTTGTTGCATACAACTTAGATGATGGTGTGAGGTACCTATGATATAATTCAGAGCACTGAGGATGGGTTGTTGAGGTGATTTGGGCATTCAGAGAGGATGGAGCAAGACAAGATGACCAAGAGGGTTATTAATTTGGGGTGGAAAGAAGAAGTGGTAGGGGTCATCCCAGAAAGGGGATAAAGGTCTTGAGTGTGGGCATTTTAGATCAGAGTGAATGGCTTGACAATCTGTTGAAGTGTGAGCAGGATAACATTCACAAGGATTCAGAAAGAGGCAACACTAAGGAGAGGAGGAGAATGAAAACATCAGCCCCCCAGAGGCACTGCCCAATACAAATAGGAATAAAAAATTATAACACTACTTCAAAATAAGTCTCCTAGCTGCTCCTTCCCCTTTCAACCAGACAGCCACCCCTAAACCCCCAGTATGTATAGAAATTTTGATGCCACCTCTGGATTCAAGGAAACTGGTTAGCTGAACTCAGTAATGGAGATAGGGAGTATAGTGCCTACACTCTGTGAAAGGGACGGGGATGTTGCAGTTCCAAGGGTCGTTTAAATTGTGATAACTGTGCACTTCTGCCAAGACATATTGACAAGTGTTGGTGAATGTATTTTCTTTTTTGGTGGGAATGTATTTCCTTTTTTTGGGGGGGTTATCCTAATGCAGTGGGAGATGGCCGGTAGGCTAATGAAAAAATACAGAAAAGGGTATAAGTGGAAGCAGACCTTATATAAAATGTAGATTGAACAACTATAAAAAACATAGAAAGAAAAAAGTGCACTGACTGATAATAAACAATAGATTAAGACAAGAGACTACTGTACATAAATGCAGTTGCAAACAAATGTTCTTACATTCAGGCAAATTTTAAGATTTCTTTCAAATACTGTATATCCAAAGAGTGAAAAAAAAAAAAAAAAAAAAAAAAAGGCACGTAGGAGTTAAGATAACGAAAAGTCATATAATATAAAGATTTTCTTGAATTCAGCAAAAATAAGAGACCACAATTTTGTATTACAAAGCAAAAAAAAGATATAAATTATATCTTCATATTAAGTGGTAAATAACAGGAATGGGTCTCCAAACCAAAAGAAAGGTATACTGTAACTACTGAAATTTTCAAAATTGTGTACCATATAATAAATGAATCAACAATAATGGGACATGAATATAGATCTACCCCTCTACAAATAGCTAATAACTTAAGATAACACATTCTTGAGAAACTATTTCATATTCTTTTGGAGGTTGGGTGGGCAATTAAAATTATTCATACAACAAAAATACTTGGAACTCACCTTAGAGTATCAACAGCTGAGTACATGTGTCTTGGGTGATGAGTGCAGGCATATATGTTATAGTCATTTTGTGGCAAGAGATCAACATCATGAAATATAAAACAGTCTGCCTTAGATAGTTTCAGTGTCTCTACAAAGCCGATGTTGAACAACTTAGCACGGTTAAAGGCAACACCTTCTGCCTGCTCCACAACTACAATTCTGAGAACACAAATATGTTTTTTAAACAAGTTTATTGCAATTAAAGTGTGTGGAAGGATTTCACAAAATTTTTCCCTTACAAATAAATATGGCTTCAAATGCCATTTATCTAAGCATTTCTGTATAAAATACTGTAAATATATGCAACATTTCAGTATTATTATTACTATATTCATAATGAAGCACTATGCCTTGGAAACGGGAGATATTCAGATTCAATCCAAGAAGTGATTTGCTTCAAGACCTTGGATCAAGAACCAGTAAGTTCAGGGAGCAGCTCTATATTAAACTGGATCCTTAGTGGACAACTCTCCAGTACGGTACATTCAATGTAATAATTCAGCAATACACTAGCTAAAACTAATCAGGAATTACTCATCCTAAGCTTGAAAATATTTATATTTCATTTTTCTCACAATCTGTCTACATAATTAAAACAGTAGTATTTATACATGTACTGGTGGTATAATTAATATATTAATTGGGAAATGCTAAACCTGCAAGGGTAATGTAGTGACAGGAAAATGGGAGGCAATTAAGCTTGTTCCAAGGAAGGGGAGGGCCTGGAGGGTAGCTCCAATTCCTTGGAGCAAGAGCTTTCATCAGCCTTAAGGCACCTCTCTGGAAGGGACTTGTAGTTTCAACATTATCACAAACATTAAAAGCAAATGAGAAAAACTGTGGCGAACAATTCAGGGATGAAACATGGTTTGTTTGATCTATCATTAAGTTGGAACTTTATACTTTTAGTGATTTTAAAGTGAAGGTTTTTTACATGGGTTTAGAAAGTTACCTGTATTTCAACTGTTGTCTTACGAGGAATGGGTGCATATAAGTTAAGAACTGCTGTAGATGCTGACTTCTGTTACGATATGGAATTATTAACGCCACCTAGAAAATAAATTGGATATTCTTACTTTATAGAATTTTCCTATTTTTACTATTATAGTTATACAATATTAACTTTGAGATGTGAACTACAATTTTCATACTTGTGAGAGTGCAATAAGATTAAACTCACAATACCATAAACTGATATAATTCACAAATAATCCACACTTAGGAAAGGAGCCTTATGATGAAGTTCTGGTCCTTCCTGAACCCCCGTGACTTGACAATGGTCAAGGGTGAACCAAAGTGTTGTCATGAGGCTCCTCTCCTAAGTGCAAGTTATTTTTGAATTGTGCATTATATTCATGGAAAGTGATAAACCTGTAAGGGCCTTATAATGCACATATTGAAAAAATACATACACTTACATGGTACCTTGAGTTGCAGTCACTTGGTTCCCATACACCACCAGCCTGTATGTCATTATTCATTAAAATTTCTTCATCTACAAGTGAATCTACATTGTTGTCGAGCAGCCTTAATGTGTTTTGGAGATAGGGAGATACTACAGGACACATACGAAATTTATTTTCTGTCGGCCCTATGAGGCCCACTAATTCCTGTGTAATGTCATTATGGGCAATATAAGGAAATAACACATCAGTATACTTTCCAAAAAATATAGGCAGTAACCAAAGTATAAAATTAGCAAAAACAGATATGATCCAAACCTTTGTTATATTAATATTTACAGCTTTTAAAGGAACATCCCTCTTATTCACCTTCATCTTGCATATCACTTATTATTTCCCAATAGATTACTGTTCCATATATTGAACTATGCAAAATGACTTTTATTAGGTGAGCTTAGTTTTGTCAAGTGCTTGTAATTCTCCAATTGCCTCATAACATAATCTGATTTGCCCTTTAATTTTTGCAGATTTTTTTGAGGATTCAGACAATTTTTCATTCAAAATTCCAAGTTTCTTATCTATAAATGTCAGTGCTTCCTTTAATGTGAATTCAATGTGAAAGCCTAAGCCAACATTCACATATATGCGTGACACATCTGGCCTGTTAAAAGAAAATATTAACATTAGACTATGTATTCCAAACTAGCATACTTATTTTCAATATTATTACAGTGGACCCCCGGTTAACGAACTTTTTTCATTCCAGTAGTATGTTCAGGTGCCAGTACTGACCGAATTTTTTCCCATAAGGAATATTGTGAAGTAGATTAGTCCATTTCAGACCCCCAAACATACACGTACAAAAGCACTTACATAAATACACTTACATAATTGGACGCATTTGGAGGTGATCGTTAAGCGGGGGTCCACTGTATATTTAAAAATAATTGTCAAATTCATAAGTCAATACAGCCTTATTCTCAAGTGACCCAACATTTTTCTGATAATTATATTATCCAGTCACTGTATTAGTATGTGTGTAGAGAATATAATAGAAGTAGAAATATAAAGAGGAAGAGGGAAAGACAGAGGAGAGACAAGCATATCTGCATGTATGGTGGGGCCCATATTTCTTTGCTAGAGACTGTCAGGAACTGAAGATTTTTAATAATGTTGGTCTGATGGCAGTGAGGCAGTCAAGTCTGCTCAGACAAGCTTACTCCACACCCCTTCCTATATACACTCAGATACCTGCTACACTTATTACAACCCTTCCTTCCATATTAGTCACTCCTGACATGTGCCTACCCACACCACAACTCTCCCTTCCATATGCCCAGGTACCCACACCTCACATGCGTCACTCACACCTCACTCTCCGCCTATTTATAATGTCTTTCTACCTCTGTATGTTAGAAGTGATCAAGGTCCCAGGACCAACACGTTTTCTAATAAATATGTCATAGTGTTTGCTTACATGTCTTTCTAAACCATCATGCAATTACCCTCATGATAATCTTCCCACCCCACATGCTCAATACCCTCACCATAAGTGGGAAAGGAGGCGAGAAGGAATGGGAGAGGGGAAGGTAGTCCTGGTGCCATCTGTGTCTGCATTTGTTTCACTGCACCTCCCTCCCCCCACACCACACACTTAACTACAATGGTGGGGCGATGGAGAGTATGTGTGTTGTTGTATCAGATATGATAGAGAAAGTGGGAGTGAATGGCAGAGTTAGGGGGAGAGAGTAGTTAGGAAATAGGAGAGGGCATATAGGAAATGGGAGAGAGAGAGGTTTAGAAGTGGGAGAATGTTTAGAAAATGGGAGAGAAAAAGGTTAGGAAATAGGAGAGAAAGAGGTCAGGTAATGGGAGAGAGAAATTAGGAAATGGAAGAGAAGGGGATGTTAGGAAATGGAGGAGGCAGTGGTTAGGAAATGGAAGAGGTGGTAGTTAGGAAATGGAAGGGGAGGGGGGGTAGGAAATGGAGGAGGCAGTAGTTAGGAAATGGAAGAGGTGGCGGTTAGGAAATGAAAGTGGTGGTGGTTAGGAAAAGGGCAAGAGGGAGGTTAAGAATTGCGCAAGATGGAGGCTAGGAAATGGGTGAGAGGGAAGCTAGTAAATAGGTGAGGGGAAAGGTTAGGAAATGGTCTGAGAGGGAGGTCAGGAAATGGGTTCCAAGGTCTAAACACTGAGCTATAAATGATTTTCAGGAACATATCTCATTCTTTAATTAAGGATCTACTGTTTTCAAAACCTCTAAGTAACTGATGAAATGACTAACTCAAAACATTTTCTGGCAAATAAAATAGTGAAGTTGCAAATATTGTACATCAGTAACAAGTGTCAATAAAAAACATGCAGTAGAAATTTTGCAGGATTATCCTAATTTTGTAGGGGAGAATGCCTATGTTATAGTATAGCTATGACAGTTTGATATTCGTTGGTCAGTCATTTGATGTGAGTGAGTTTCCTACTACAGGCAACAGAAAAATTACTTACACATGGGCCTGAATATAAAAGTTGGAGCCGAGATCAACTTGTGTACGTAACCCTTCCTCATGCGGGTCTTCACTAATGCAAATTATGATCTGTTTAAGCTGGGAGAGTGCAGCTATGTTTTCGTACAACTTTTCACGATCCTCCAACAGAATTCTACAAAATGAAGGAAATGTGAAAAGTTAGGTGGCAAAAATATAAAGTAAAAACTTAACAGAATATTAATAAAAAATGAACTAAAATCTGCAAAGTACTTACACTTAAACTAGTAAACACCTACATTACATACCACTAGGACATAGCCAAATAAACCTTAAAATAAGTGACACAAATAGAAACTGCATACGAGGCTAAACTTTTCAGCCTGTGCATAGATAAAAGAAGGCATATTGTCAAAAATTTTATATTACATACCTTGCTCCATACTGCTTACCCTATCAATCAATATCCTATGTACAATATCTGTACCTGGTGATCAACAGCAGCAAATTCTCTTTAAATCAGTCATCACACAGCAAAAAATCAATGAAAGTCTAGCTTAGACACTAGACATTCCCTTATTATGTCTAAACTTACCTACAACACATCTTAATGACCCTGAACTGTACTACTAATAAAAATTTTCATAATTTTCCTTCACAACTGTAGGACAACCATGGGCATCACACATGAAATAATTACCTCTGGCATTCTAAGTGTACTTAACTATTTGTGATTGCAGGGGTTGAGTCATAGCTCCTGGCCCTGCCTCTTCCTGATTGCTACTAGGTCCTCTCTCTCCCTGCTCCATGAGCTTTATCAAACCTCATCTTAAAACTATGTATAGTTCCTGCCTAGACTATTCCACTTCCTGACAACTCTATGACTGAAGAAATACTTCCTAACATCCCTTTGATTCATAGGAGTCTTCAACTTCCAATTGTGACCCCTTGTTTCTGTGTCTGAACTTATGTACAAATTCTATGAACATAAAAAGGGGGACTAAGGACACCGGTAGCAGAGAATTCATCCAAAGCTGGACCTTATGAAGTGACTTAGGCAAAAAGTTGTATTAAAAAAGGATCAGTGTCTTTAGTCCTACTTATCAGCTTTACACATTGTCTTCTAACATAAAAAGACCCCAAAATATGGAATAAGCCTACCAAAAGAAACAAAAGTCTAGATAATATTAAATAAAGAAATGCTGAAAATAGTTGCAATTCCACGTAATTTCCATATTATTATTGCTGTATTGTTAATACGTATTATTGTACAAACATGTCAGTTAATAATTTATTTTATACTGTATTGGTGTATATCATACTACTGTAATAATATTAACCACCCCATATTTTCTAGTATTAGTGCTACTGTAATGTTATTAATATTAATTGTATTCATAATGACCTTTATATGTGCTATTCAGCACATTCATGCTGTACCTGTGATATAATCAAACTACTACTAAGTGGCTACCTAAAATGACCTACAAAACTATCCAGAAGCTGCCAAATAATCACCAAAGTAGGCACAAAATGGTGCCACAATCTCTTGGTCATACAACAGCCACCACTGCCAGATGTAGCATTTAAACTAACATACTCCATGATTTTTACTCAAGCACAGCAAGCAGGTTATCACATAAGTGCAATATGGTATATATATACTCTTGTAAATGTTAGCTCAGCTGCAGCTAGTGTCAAACAGTACGATTTTTGTCATGGTAAATACTAGAGCAAACCACTGCTACCCTCAACAACACTACTCCACCAGTTACTTTTCAAGCATTCATCCACACAGTCAGACTTCATTATGTAAGATAAATAAATAAATAACAAAATGGCACAATATCGTGACTGGAAAATACACAAGTAACCCGCACATAGGAGAGAGGGGCTTACGATGGTCCGAAACGTTGTTGTAAGTTCCTCTCTCCTGTTTAAGGTGAGCAATATTTACAAAGCCTAAAGAATATTATCATATATCAAGCAACAAGAACTCCAAGATCTTGAAAAAAAAAAGTGCAAAGGCTGAGAAGAGGTTTTATCATTGCAAAAAAAAAATTAAGTACCTGAAGATACTGTGATGACCCATTCAATATAGTACATGTATTATGTAAAATACAGGAAAAATGACTAAGAGAAAAATGGACATACACAGTTATAGGTGAATCAGGTTAATCCACATAAATCAGCATGAACTTATAACCAGGTTAGAAAGCAATTTCACATCCCAGACAACAGCCCTCTATATTCCACTAGTGATTTCCTTGATGACACTGAGCAACAAAGACTAGCTCAAATTCAAATTCAAAAATTTATTTCTACATGATACATTCTTTGTACAGAAATGAGTGACACTTGACATGCATGTAGGTGTTTGGGATATTTGCCATTTGGAGGAATATCTTGGTGCCTCTGGCAAGACAGTGATAGTATGAATGATAATTAAAACACTTTTTTTTCAGATCACCCTACCTTGATGGGAGACGGCGAGTGTGTTACAAAAGTTACTTATCTTTTAACAGCACGATTTCTAGCAGCCGCTCCCTGGAAATCCCTTCAGGGTGCTGTTTCAGTGTCCACAGGGGCTTTTGATTAACAAGCGAGTCATTCATACAAAATGCCCCAAAGAAGCATATATCCAGCATTTCACTATCATCTGAAATGCGTATTGGTACTCGCGTGGTTTTGGTTGAATCACCCTCACGCCACGGGATCTATTGGTAACTCCAGTCAAATCTCACCTCTACCTATTAGCTCCAACTAACGTAAGAAGATGTGGGTATGGCTGGACTTACCTGGATATTGTAACTGACCCAATTTTCCCTAGTTTGTTGTAGGGGAGGTGTGACCCCAGTATTGTTGTCTCAAGTAGGGTGCTACAGATGCGTAGTTTTATTGTCCTCACTCGTTGATAGGGAGTCACTCTAGCCATTCATTACACAATAGGGTGATATCTTGGCTCTTTGTTCATTATTTTTTTTTTATTATCACACTGGCCGATTCCCACCAAGGCAGGGTGGCCCGAAAAAGAAAAACTTTCACCATCATTCACTCCATCACTGTCTTGCCAGAAGGGTGCTTTACACTACAGTTTTTGAACTGCAACATTAACACCCCTCCTTCAGAGTGCAGGCACTGTACTTCCCATCTCCAGGACTCAAGTCCGGCCTGCTGGTTTCCCTGAACCCCTTCATAAATGTTACTTTGCTCACACTCCAACAGCACATCAAATATTAAAAACCATTTGTCTCCATTCACTCCTATCAAACACGCTCATGCATGCCTGCTGGAAGTCCAAGCCCCTCGCACACAAAACCTCCTTTACCCCCTCCCTCCAACCTTTCCTAGGCCAACCCCTACCCCGCCTTCCTTCCACTACAGACTGATACACTCTTGAAGTCAATCTGTTTCGCTCCATTCTCTCTACATGTCCGAACCACCTCAACAACCCTTCCTCAGCCCTCTGGACAACAGTTTTGGTAATCCCGCACCTCCTCCTAACTTCCAAACTACGAATTCTCTGCATTATATTCACACCACACATTGCTCTCAGTCATGACATCTCCACTGCCTCCAGCCTTCTCCTCACTGCAACATTCATCACCCATGCTTCACACCCATATAAGAGCGTTGGTAAAACTATACTCTCATACATTCCCCTCTTTGCCTCCAAGGACAAAGTTCTTTGTCTCCACAGACTCTTAAGTGCACCACTCACCCTTTTCCCCTCATCAATTCTATGATTCACCTCATCTTTCATAGACCCATCCGCTGACACGTCCACTCCCAAATATCTGAATACATTCACCTCCTCCATACTCTCTCCCTCCAATCTAATATCCAATCTTTCATCGCCTAATCTTTTTGTTATCCTCATAACCTTACTCTTTCCTGTATTCACTTTTAATTTTCTTCTTTTGCACACCCTACCAAACTCATCCACCAATCTCTGCAACTTCTCTTCAGAATCTCCCAAGAGCACAGTGTCATCAGCAAAGAGCAACTGTGACAACTCCCACTTTATGTGTGATTCTTTATCTTTTAACTCCACGCCTTTTGCCAAGACCCTCATATTTACTTCTCTTACAACCCCATCTATAAATATATTAAACAACCATGGTGACATCACACATCCTTGTCTAAGGCCTACTTTTACTGGGAAATAATTTCCCACTTTCCTACATACTCTAACTTGAGCCTCACTATCCTCGTAAAAACTCTTCACTGCTTTCAGTAACCTACCTCCTACACCATACACCTGCAACATCTGCCACATTGTCCCCCTATCCACCCTGTCATACGCCTTTTCCAAATCCATAAATGCCACAAAAACCTCTTTAGCCTTATCTAAATACTGTTCACTTATATGTTTCACTGTAAACACCTGGTCCACACACCCCCTACCTTTCCTAAAGCCTCCTTGTTCATCTGCTAACCTATTCTCCATCTTGCTCTTAATTCTTTCAATAATAACTCTACCATACACTTTACCAGGTATACTCAACAGACTTATCCCCCTATAATTTTTGCACTCTCTTTTGTCCCCTTTGCCTTTATACAAAGGAACTATGCATGCTCTCTGCCAATCCCTAGGTACCTTACCCTCTTCCATACATTTATTAAATAATTGCACCAACCACTCCAAAACTATATCCCCACCTGCTTTTAACATTTCTATCTTTATCCCATCAATCCCAGCTGCCTTACCCCCTTTCATTTTACCTACTGCCTCACGAACTTCCCCCACACTCACAACTGGCTCTTCCTCACTCCTACAAGATGCTATTCCTCCTTGCCCTATACACGAAATCACAGCTTCCCTATCTTCATCAACATTTAACAATTCCTCAAAATATTCCCTCCATCTTCCCAATACCTCTAACTCTCCATTTAATAACTCTCCTCTTCTATTTTTAACTGACAAATCCATTTGTTTTCTAGGTTTCCTTAACTTGTTAATCTCACTCCAAAACTTTTTCTTATTTTCAACAAAATTTGTTGATAACATCTCACCCACTCTCTCATTTGCTCTCTTTTTACATTGCTTCACCACTCTCTTAACCTCTCTCTTTTTCTCCATATACTCTTCCCTCCTTGCATCACTTCTACTTTGTAAAAACTTCTCATATGCTAACTTTTTCTCCCTTACTGCTCTCTTTACATCATCATTCCACCAATCGCTCCTCTTCCCTCCCGCACCCACTTTCCTGTAACCACAAACTTCTGCTGAACACTCTAACACTACATTTTTAAACCTACCCCATACCTCTTCGACCCCATTGCCTATGCTCTCATTAGCCCATCTATCCTCCAATAGCTGTTTATATCTTACCCTAACTGCCTCCTCTTTTAGTTTATAAACCTTCACCTCTCTCTTTCCTGATGCTTCTATTCTCCCTGTACCCCATCTACCTTTTACTCTCAGTGTAGCTACAACTAGAAAGTGATCTGATATATATGTGGCCACTCTATAAACATGTACATCCTGAAGTCTACTCAACAGTCTTTTATCTACCAATACATAATCCAACAGACTACTGTCATTTCGCCCTACATCATATCTTGTATACTTATTTATCCTCTTTTTCTTAAAATATGTATTACCTATAACTAAACCCCTTTCTATACAAAGTTCAATCAAAGGGCTCCCATTATCATTTACACCTGGCACCCCAAACTTACCTACCACACCCTCTCTAAAAGTTTCTCCTACTTTAGCATTCAGATCCCCTACCACAATTACTCTCTCACTTGGTTCAAAGCTCCTATACATTCACTTAACATCTCCCAAAATCTCTCTCTCTCCTCTACATTCCTCTCTTCTCCAGGTGCATACACGCTTATTATGACCCACTTTTCACATCCAACCTTTACTTTAATCCACATAATTCTTGAATTTACACATTCATATTCTCTTTTCTCCTTCCATAACTGATCCTTCAACATTACTGCTACCCCTTCCTTTGCTCTAACTCTCTCAGATACTCCAGATTTAATCCCATTTATTTCCCCCCACCGAAACTCCCCTACCCCCTTCAGCTTTGTTTTGCTTAGGGCCAGGACATCCAACTTCTTTTCATTCATAACATCAGCAATCATCTGTTTCTTGTCATCCGCACTACATCCACGCACATTCAAGCATCCCAGTTTTATAAAGTTTTTCTTCTTCTCTTTTTTAGTAAATGTCTACAGGAGAAGGGGTTACTAGCCCATTGCTCCCGGCATTTTAGTCGCCTCATACGACACAAACTTTCACACTCGGGATTATACACTCGTATTTCTTTTTAATACTAGTTTTCCTAGAGGAGATTAACAGTATTTCAGAGTTTACTGCACAAAGTCATTATTTTCTTTGTTCTCAGCAGGAGACTTGTGACATGTTCATGCTCTCATGTCTGAATTCAACCTAGCTTGTTGCCCTGCCCAACGCCCACCAATTCATCGTCTGCACAAAAGAACTGCAGAGTTCAGCTTTATATCTCTTCCTTACTAAACACTGCAACAGTACAATACAAGAGGGTAGGTTTCTTGTTATTTAGCTGTAGACTAGAAGTCATAATAGTCCCAACTTGTAGGAAAAGTGGAGTGAAGGTTTACTCATAATTTCCTTGCTAAGGAGAAAAGAGCAATTACTCTCATTTAACTCTCACTGTAATTGATCAGAAATTCTAGCAAGGAGAGAGCCATGCATGGAGATGCCTGGTACTCATGTGGTTCTAATAAAGCTGTTTGCAAGAAAGAGTCCACTAGCCCCTTCTGGGAGGGCTAAGTCCATCAGAGGGTTGAGATACCCCATTTACTGGAGAATTTTCTCCACAGATTGGTTGAAAACCAAAATGAAAATTATATGCAAATCAGTGGCTTAATATAGTATATAACAGTAAAGTTGTACAAAAACTAGTGTTGATCATAAAAACTACCTTAATGTATTACGTACTTTTAATATGCTTTACAAGTTCATACTCAAAAGTACTGTATTCTTTGAAGTTTAGAACACAAATTATAGACAAGTGGATTAGGTACAGTAAACCCTTGATTTAATGGAGTAATAGAGGTAGCAGGTGCCAATAATAGTGACCGTGGTGGACAGACGAGACAGTTTTGCCATGACCATAATTAAAAGGGGCAATTCTGTAATCAACAGACTGTGTCCATCATCTTCTAATCAATTAATCCAGCAGATTTTTGTCACATATGTTAAAGCAAGATCCATTAAATAGAGGGTTGACTGTAGTTTCAGTTCCAGTTTAAGCCTACCTGAAATGAGGTGCAGCTTATGAGCTTTAAAAAAATTAACACATTTGCATTTTTTTTTTTTACGAAATAAGGTATGTACAGTACAAATCACAGAACTAATGGGGTCTTGAACCCATGACAAGTGAGTCCTAAAAGGCAAAGTTTTACATAAAGTACAATTTTAGCAAGCTGTGTGTCTTTAAATACAGCAGACTATAGGTACTTGGGAAATGCTCAAGCCCATATAATTTTTTAATTTCAGCTCAACACTCTTGTTGGGCAAGTTAAACAAATAAAGTAATTCTAAATTACTCACCTTAAATCTTCCCTTAAAACATTGTTTACGAAATGTTCATATTTTACTAGCTTCTCTCTGTCAGCCATCATAATACACTCTGAAACAATAGAAGTATATAGGAAAATTGCTAACTACACCAACAAATAAAGCTGAACTTCTGATTTTGTTAAGAAAGTAATTTACACACATTCAACACTAAGCATTATTTGTTAAAGAACAAGTCAAAATTAGCATCTTAGGTCAAGTTATTAACAGGAAAATAAGAAAAAGGCTTCAATTTAACAATAAGGCAAATTAACTTCTACCATATTTGCTTAAGAACAGAAAGATCAAATTTGAAAACACTGCAAGTGCCTATAGTAGACTAATTAACAAAATCAGACAGGGGATAGTACATGAGGAGGTACAAAGTATAGGAAAGTAGTGCACTTGGGGAATGACAGGTGATTAGGTTTACACCAAAGGGAGGCTGGCTTCAAATCCTTGGATTGACAGCTTTTCACAAGTATCAAGATAGCCCCTTTAACTAAAAAAGGCACCGTAAAAGAGTTAAGCAAGGTAATGTAATTCATCAATTTTTGTGGCTTCTAATTCATTAAATTCTCATGAGTGTGTTTATGTGTGTAAAGAAAAAACTAGTACAGCTAGCCCTCCACTTTCGCGAACTTCAAACATTCACAAGTGCACAGTCACCCAATCATATTTGCCAAATAAATGTGGGATAAAAGCTATGGGAAAATGCTTCCCACCACTGTCGGCAGTGACGCTGGCAGTGAAGAGTTAGAATCCACACATTAGACTCATCATGCCATGCAGATACACTCCATATAACCACCTCCATTCAACTATCATCAGTAGCTGCATGGCTAATTATTATCACCATCATCACAAGCTGTCAGAGTTCATGCCTGCCTAATCTAACAAGTGGCGAGTGTTTTGTCTGTTCATTATTTGTTATTAAACCATAACATGCACAGTATATACAATATTTTACGACGTTTGTGGTTCAATTGGTGTCCCACAGGGAAGTGTCCTTGGCCCTCTTCTCTTTCTCGTTTACATAAATGACCTACCAAATGCATCGCAACTACTCAAACCCACACTATTTGCAGAAGACACTACATACGTCTTCTCTCACCCGAGCCTAGTCATGCTAGCCAATACTGTGAATACCGAATTACAGAAAATATCTACCTGGATGATGACTAACAAACTTACTCTCAACATTGACAAAACCTACTTCATTCAGTTTGGAAACAGAGCTACAGATGTCCCTCTTAAAATAATGATAAATGGATCACCTATTACAAAGCTCACAGAGGGAAAATTCTTAGGAATCCACCTTGATAATAGACTCAAATTTCAAACACACGTACAACAAATTTCCAAGAAAATTTCCAAGACCGTAGGCATACTATCGAAGATACGGTACTATGTTCCACAGTCAGCCCTCCTGGCCCTTTATCACTCATTTATTTACCCCTATCTCACCTATGGAATTTGTGCATGGGGTTCAACAACAATAAACCATCTCAGACCATTAACTACCCAACAAAAGGCTGCAGTCAGAATGATAACAAATTCCCACTACAGGCAGCACACTCCACCAATATTCAAAACTCTAAACCTACTCACTGTACAAAACATCCATACTTATTATTGTACCTACCACATACATAGAACACTTAACTCGGATATAAACCCTTCCCTCAAACATCTCCTTACCAACCTTAACAGAACACATGACCATAACACAAGGCACAGATCACTCTTTGATGTTCCTCGTGTCCATCTCACACTATGTAAAAACTCAATGCACATAAAAGGCCCAAAAATCTGGAATTCATTACCTGTGAATATAAAAGAAACACTATCTGTTTACAAATTCAAGTCTCTTCTTAAAAATCACTTACTCACCCACAACTAAATAAATAATGAATAATTGTATCAAACCTTTTTTTTTTTTTAATTACATAACCTAACAGAATACTCCATTCTACTGAATGCACAGCAACTCAGCAAATGACCATATGACCTGTCTTTGAAATACTCATTTGTGCTTAATTGCTATTTGTTTACTATAATTTTTACCACTGAATATATCATTGCTTAATTAATCTTAAGTTAATTTTAAGCCTGCCCATAATGCTCTGCATACAAGGGGCTTTTGGCATGTAACACTTAGCCACTGTATTTCTTTGTACATCTATGTATCATGTCTAAATAAATAAATAAATAGGTTAAGGAAGCAGTATTGTTAGTTTAAGTAAATGATATTATTATATTTTCCTACAATACATCTGCACATCAAAACATTCGTGAACGCTACAGTACAGTATTATTATACTTCCCTACATCATATTTGCGTACCAAACATTTGCGAAATTTCAACATTTGTGATGCTCTTGATCCCCTAACTCTTGCAAATGTGGAGGGCCTCCTGTAATATAATGTATGAATGATGATACCATATTGGTGTAATTCTCTTACTATTTATGATATATAAATTGAAGGTTTGCTACAGTTGATGTGGGCATGGCTTTACACCACAGTCCACATTGTTTTCTTTAGCCTGCATTTTTTTTAAATTTCCTATCATAATTGCAAATGTGGCTAGTGCAGTTACAGTGTTGGGATTATTGTACTCTGCTAGCATGCATATTTCCTAAGTGCAACAAAACTAGAAAAGGTAAGTATGTCTAGCAAGGACATGATGAAATGGAGTAGAAAAGTAAAATCATTGGACATGTTCAGAATAAGATAAGAGCTGCTGGTAGAAGATATTACAGCCTTAATAAATAGTGTTATAATAGGAAACACAAGAGGAATATTTGGGAAAACAGGGAGACCAATATACCACAAAGGCGGTACAGTAGTAAGCTTACAGTAAAGTACAACAGCATACTCTAAAACACATAAAAAGTATAGTTGTATTTAAAGTTTCTTCATTTACTGGGACCTTGAGAAATATATCCTCCATGTACTGGAATTTGGCACAATGTTTAGTTACATAAACTTGAGAGAAGTTAACACTATAAAACTGAAAATAAGCACCAGGGAATGTAATCCCTACTTAAATAAGTTTATTCAGGTTAACACAAGTACAGTTACATAGATTATCATACATAGCAGCATATGTGTAGAGAACCTAGGATAACCCAAAAAAGTCAGACAGAGTGATTTATTTCCACTGGGGTCCTTAAAGAGATATGGGGTCCTATAACAGGTTTTATAAGCAGAAAAACATTCCATATGCTATACTGTATTGAAATAAATTAAGGAAAGGGGAATAGAGCTAGAAAAATACCTTTAGGATGCAAATGCCACTGCCAGTACCATATATGGAAAAAAAAAAATATTTGTGTGCAAAGCTTGGAGAAGCTGATGATGCCTTATCATCAGCTACATAAAGTACTGCAGGGTACAACAGACCAGATATGCATTACAGAATACATAACCAATCCAATACAACCATCACTACTGCCAACTTACCATCCACATCAGCACAAAAACCAGTCATCCACCTCAGCGCAGTAGGCCCAAATCAACCCTCTCTCCACTCTTCCAATTAAAAAAAAAATTAAAAAAAAAAAAAAATCACCAAATGAATATAAGGTAAGGTTTACTGTAGTAATTTTTATCTAGTACAATATTAAAAAAATGACAAATTTGGAGGTGTGTGGAACATGGCCCCATTCAATTTGTGTAAAGCTATTTTATCTTGCATACTGATTTTAAAGATTGTGACCAATCCATGATGAGAGGGCTCACTGTACATCATATAAACACACACTGTACCACATATAGTAGGGCCCCACTCATACAGCAAGTTAGGTTCCAGGCTACCGCCAGAAAGCGGACATCACCAGAAAGCAGAACATCATTGTTTTCCACTTATAAATGCCAGATAACAAGTTTACACTAACATATATTAAGTTAGCAATAGAACTAGGCATTAAAAACAATAAAAAGTAAAATACACACACAGTACACTCATTACTTACATTAAAATATTTGTAGTCTTAATGTTGGGTGAGAGGTGAGTACAGTAGTATTTACTGTAAGAAGTCAGGTGTGGGAGGTATAGTAGCCAGCCAGGCCACCCCACCCACATGTAATACACTATGACATTTAAAGCACCCCAGAGTGATAAAATGCATATACAGTACACTCATTATTTGTCTTAAAATATCTGTAGTCTTAATGTAGGGTGAGAGGTGAGTAATATTTATTTGTAGGAAGTCAGGTGTAGGAGGTATGGTAGCCAGCCAGCCAGCCAGCCAGGACATCCCACTCACACATAATATACTATGACATTTGAAGTGCACCAGAGTGATGAAATGCATATAAAGTACTACATTCATTACCTAACTTAAAATATCTGTAGTCTTAATGTAGGATGAGAGGCGAGTAGTATTTATTTGTAGGAAGTCAGGTTTGGGAGGTATGATCCCCAGCCCACCCCACCCGCACATAATATACTATGACATTTAAAGTGCAAAAGAGCGATAAAATGCATATACAGTACACTCACTACTAACCTTAAAATATTTGTAGTCTTAACGTAGGGCAAGAGGTGAGTAAACAAGGTAAAACAAATGAACGAGAGAGAGAGAGAACAAGTAAATAAGAGAAGAGAGATATGTGGAGAATGTAAACAAGCAGATGAATGCTTTTGGTTTTGGTTCATACATGCAACATCTCACATTTGTTAATTTATTCTACTGTGGGGTGTATTTATCATGTTCATATGTTACACAGCATGTTTATTATATAATTTTGAAAAAAATATCATAGATGGATAAATGAAAATCTTTATATTAACATAATATACAACATTTAATGTGCCTCAGAGTGACTATTATTGCGTATTATTATTATCATTATTAATATGGCATCCTCAAGACTAATAAGACACTCTTAGTGATTTTAATGTGTACCTGCATACCAGCACAGTGTGTAAGTTTATTTAGGTACAGGTACACATAAGTACTATATTTATCAGAGTACATATAAAACATGAAATAACTTTAAAACACTTGAAATTTTGGAGTTTCCAGACAATGGAGAGATGCGATGCTCACAGAAAGTGTAAACATACTGGGTGGGGTACGGTGACCATATTAGAAAGTCAGGTGGGGGGAGCTATAGAGAGAGTTTTGGTCACGATTTGAAATGTCCGTATTGGCGAAACACCATAAAGTGGGACCCTACTGTATATGTATATATTGATGAATTCTACAAACACTACATGTATAGCAATACAGAGAAAATCAACTAAAACAATATAACCAAAACCAATACAATCATAAAAAATACTAATGCAAATTGTGTCAAGAAGGGACAAGTACTATATTTATACCAGCTACAAGCAGAACTTATTACTTGCTTTTACTGAGAAAAACAGATATAAAAGCACACACATTCAGTACCCATAACAGAGTTGCAGGAGGGATAAAAACGCTAAAATAAAAAGACAAGGTAAAACACAAAGAATATTAAGACAATATTTTTAAAAGGGTAATGTTGAATTGGAGGAAATGAAGCAGATCACCAAATGTCACCACAATATGGGATAGGAACACCCAAACTAGACTACTAATGTGGGCGACGTAGATAAAGATTTATTCACAGTATACTTTTTCACAAACAGTTCTATTTCTTTACTTTAGCTAATATCACACTTAATAACAGTTGATCAGCAACATTTTCTCCACCTCAGTAATACAAGAAATAAATATTGTATTTCACATGTTTGACTTGAGTAGAAAAAGAAGTTCCCTATTTGCTAGGCCTGTATACCTTGTACATGTACTCATAGAAATAAAGATTATTATTATCATACAGCCTCTCCTCACTTAGCGACATACTCGTTTACCGACGACTTGGACTTACAAAGGGCTCTCCGACCAGTATGCATACCTAAATAATGTATATGGGGAATGATTTCCTCTATTCTGTTTATTACAATATACCATATACTACAGTATGAACATTTAAAAATATACCAGAAATGTTATACATGGTGCAAAGGTGACATTAAAACAATATCAAACATGGGTGACACAAACCCACTACCATTATAGTATGTTCCTCACTTAGCAATGAATTCATTTACCATTGTGGTCTTGGGAACAGAACTCTGTCATTTAAGTGAGGAGAGGTTGTATATGTTCCTAATCCAGTATCCCAGGGTTAGTTGGGGAGCTGAGACAGTGGGTATTGAAGGAGGGACATAGTCTGTGACCCCAGTGTCTCTCAGGTCCCACAAAGCCTCCAAAATACATACATATCAGTAAGTTTATTCAGGTACAGGTACACAAATACTGTTACAAAAATTATTATACATAGCAGCATATCTATAGATTACCCAGGATAAGCTAAAAAAATCAAAGTGACTTATTTCCATTGGGATCAGTAAGTTATAATTTGTTTTTGGGTCTAGGGTTCTCTCCAGTGTATGTGGGTGGAAAGTTAATTGAGATTGTGTTCTCAAGACTGTCTTGTCGAGGTTGTGTTCTGAGACTGTCCTCTCTAGACTGTCTTCTCGAGATTGTCCTCTCAAGACTGTCCTCTCAAGACTGTCTTCTCGAGACTGTCTTCTGAGATTGTCTCTCTAGACTGTCTCTCAAGATTGTCCTCTCGAGATTGTCCTCTCTAGACTGTCCTCTCAAGACTGTCTTCTCGATTGTCCTCTCTAGACTGTCTTCTCGATTGTCCTCTCTAGACTGTCCTCTCGAGATTGTCCTCTCTAGACTGTCCTCTCAAGATTGTCCTCTCTAGACTGTCTTCTCGAGATTGTCCTCTCAAGACTGTCCTCTCAAGACTGTCTTCTCGATTGTCCTCTCGAGATTGTCCTATCTAGACTGTCCTCTCAAGACTGTCTTCTCGATTGTCCTCTCTAGACTGTCTTCTCGAGATTGTCCTCTCGAGATTGTCTTATCTAGACTATCCTCGCAAGACTGTCTTCTCGATTATCCTCTCTAGACTGTCCTCTCGAGATTGTCCTCTCGAGACTGTCTTCTCGAGATTGTCCTCTCGAGATTGTTTGATGCTCCTTAAGACTAAATGCACAAAAAAAGGGGTTAATATTAGTAATTATTTCTAAACAATCAACGAGTCAGCACAAAAAAAATATAATGATCACGAGCCATTTTTAAAACTCACGTATTAATAAACCTGTGTCAAGAAAAATACCTTCATCCACACTACAGCTAGCAAGTACTAGTTTACAGCTTCCTGATGAGCTAGGTGGACAAAACAGCCAAAATAAGACAATATAAGACCAGCCGCTCCCACCACCATCACCAGTGCTGCCAACCACACCATATCAACAATAATATAAAAATTGAATTAAGTAATACTTAATTTAGTAAGTTTATTTAGGTATAGGTATACATAAATAGTGTTACATAAATTATTATACATGGTAACGTGTGTGTAAATTACCCAGGATAACTCAAAATGTTATAGTGACTTAGTTACATAGATTTATTAACATTTAAGTGAGTAAGTCTATTTTGGAACAGGTACACATAAATACTGTTATATAAATTATCATACATAATAAGATATGTGTAAATACCTAAGATAACCCAATAAAGAAGTCAGTCAAAGGGACATATTATCCATTAGGGATCCTTGTATTTTCTTGTATTTCTTAAGTAACATTTAACCATTAGAATTAATTTGCATAAAATATATTGCATGATATGGCTTCTTTTGTGCCCAACAATGTTTTATTACACGTGAAGTACATTATTTTGCACCGCATAAAGAAAAAAAATTATTTGCCCATAACTACGTGAAAATTTGATTTAATATATAAATCGAAAAAAAATAAATATTTAAACATGAAAAAATAAATGGGTGCTAATTACTGTGCACATTAGTATAAAAATAGAAGTGGAAAATATATTTCCTTTAGTTTTCCTAAGTGCGTCATTTCTTAGAATTATTAAATGGTTACAAAAAAGCCTCAAAACTGTAATGAGTAGGAAATAAGAAATATAAGTATTAATTATTATACTCATGGGGAAGAGCTAAACCAGTAGGATTATACAGCGCCTGTGGGGGGAGGTTATTCAGGCTTAATTCAGGGAAATGGAGCACATATTCAATTGATAAATTAGACCAAGATGCACCTCTACAACGTCAGCGAAGTAAAACTCCCTTGCACATGTGTCTAATTATAAAAGGTTTAAATATACAAACAAATTTTTGAAGTACAGGTAAACTCCCAATCGTAAACTATGAAAAGGAAAACACCATTCTTATCAACACCAACAAACTAGGAGCTCAACAACAATCTTGTAATAGTTGTTGTGCCTTTAATACGTCATTAATTAAAACATGTTACATAGTTTTGATAATGAAATTTTTAGCTCTACATTTCGATAATTTAATTGGCAGTAAGATATGAAATAATCATTATTAAAAAGTGGAATTTGTGGATGCGCGTGTTGTGTTGAGGGAGATGCTGATGGTGGAATTTAATACTACTGCTAATAATTTTATTTCAGCATGATACAATGTAAAGATGGTGACATTTAGTTGTACATACAGAAAGCCATTAGTTATGCAATTATTATAATCATTACTAAGCGATAAACCCACAAGGGTCATCATGGTTATGCAGAGCATTTCCTGCAATACTTAACAAGGAAGTCGCAGGTTGACTTTGCGGCTTTTCTATTCCTTAATTTTGCGTCTTTTTCTTTAAATCTGCATCGTTTTATTCTTCAATTTAGCGCCTTTTTACTCTAATTCTACGCTTTATTCTTTATTCTGCTCCTTTTCATTTAATTCTACGCCTTTTTTCAATTCTGCGTAAACCTTTGCTTAGCGTGAACATTTTACTGTCCTGAACTTGGGTGACAAATTTCCCCTTTTCTCCCAGGGACCTTAATTTTTAAAGAATGGAGGGGTAAGCCAGTGGAAGGCCTCAGTTAATAACCAAAAGCTCCAGCTGTGGGTCATCATATGACAATGACCCGTGTCACGAAACACTTGTCTTGTTTCCTGACTAACCTAACCTGTCTATTATTATAATCAAGGGGGAAGCGCTAAACCCGGAGGATTATACAGCGCCTGGGGGGGGGGGATGTGGAAGGCATTCAGGCTTAATTCGGGGAACTGGAACACAGATCCAATTCCCTAAATTAACCTGTCGTCAAATTATTCTACTAGCTGGACATGTTACAGGAGGGACATTATTCATTTTCATTTCTTTGCTCTTTGGATAGTATACATTTTTGGTTTTCTTGAGAAGCTGGGTTGTGGGTGTTCCATCAGCGCTGTGACCTTTGTAGGTTATGATTGTAATTATACATTATAATCAAAAAGAAGCACTAAGCCACAAGGGCTATACAGCGCTGCTGTAATTATATGTACAACTGTAGGTGTCTCTCTGAGGAGCTAGGAAAGGGAGAAGGATCCACCTGATCTGATTGTGATTATAATCAAGGGAGAAGCACTAAACCCATAAGATTATACAGCACCTGTGTGGCGGATGTGGAAGGTATTCAGGCTTAATTCATGGAACTGGAGCACAGATCCAATTCCCTAGATCAAGAGCCCCTCACCAGCATCAAGGAACCTCCCTGGAAGGGACAAGATGTGGAAAAAGACGCCTGAAGGTTCACGTATTGTCATGTAGTGCAGCAGATTATCTAGCTTACCCTTTTCTAAACGAGCACAGCATATGGTACGATAAATTTTTGTTGCAAGTTTCATGCCAAGCATATACCTGTGTTTTAAATTTCACAGACGAAAGCAATAGCAGTGTGTCCCAGAATATTTTTGGGGGGTATATTTGAGGTGTGTGACTCGAGGAGGTAGCAGATTTACTAAACAGACCAGGAGTGGAAAATGATCACATGGGGTCAGTGCTTTTTTATTGGTATTATTATTACAGTATTAAGATAACTACTGTAGGATTAACCTGTACATACCATAACTTAAAGGTCTTCTTTCTTTCTTTCAACACACTTGCCGTATCTCACCGAGGCGGAACTTAAAGGTATCCGGACATAAAATTTCCAGAGCATTAACACACATTAAATTATCATATTGGTTTATTACGGCAACCAAAGAATAATTATTAAAATTTTAATCCAAAAGAAATGAGCAACCATTAAGAGCACTGCCACGAAGATGCATAAAAAAATTGGTAAAAGCCTTGGTTTTCCGGCAAAATTAAAAAATGCTAATTTAATACATAGTAAAGCGATAAATGATCTCTCACTCAACAAAACAGTTATAATCAAATAATCAGATGCTAATTAGCCTAGTACTCACACAAATTATCTATAGGCAAAGCACATGAAAAAAGATGTTTACTGCAGTACAGAAAGATTTAACTTTTAAAAGCTATCAGAATGCCATGTGTAAGTGAACCTATCCAGTCCTCAGATGAATGTACAGAGTCGCTTAGTCACTCCAATACCCACATACAGGTCTCCCTCAACATTCGCGAGGATTAGGGGATCAAGAGCCTCGCGAATGTTGAAAAACCGTGAATGTTTGGTGCCCCAATATATTGTAGGGAAATATATTACAATACTGCTTCCTTAACTTGTTGAACCATGAATAATCATAAAATACATGAAAAGTTGTAAATTGTACTAAATATATACATGTTATGCTTTAATAATGTATGTTATTTAATAACATGCATGTTAATAACATGTATGTTATTAAATACCACAGACTCCACCACTGCCTCCACCAATGCGAGTCCCTACTACCCTCCCTCCGACCCCCGCAACTGGCAGCCAGCCCTCCCACCACTCGTGTGGTGAGTTTTGTTTGCTCATTATTTGCTATTAAACTACAGAAAAAATAATGTAAACCCATTAATGACTACATATTGAAATGGCTATTAGGAAAGGTATTAGACGGTGACATCATGTGTTTACTCTTGAACACAGCAAAGAATCGAACATTTCTGCTATTGCTAATAATAACAATAGTAATAATAATAATAATAAATACGATATAATTGAAGAAGGAAATTGTACAAAAATACGAGGGAGTGGTTGACACATTGTCAGTGTGACTGTTTATGCTGGAGTGAACATTAGTCTCCCTGCTCTTCCAAACATTTCACAATAATTCAGCGGTTGAGGCAGTGGTATTTAATAACATATATGTTATAAATAATAATAGTACATATTATTAATAACATGTATTATTATTAACATGTATGTTATTAAATACCATTGCCTCAATCACTGCCTCTACCACTCCAGTCACACTCAATCTACAAGCACCAAACACAATGAATTATTGTGAAATGTTTGGAAGAGCAGGGAGACTAATGTTCACTCCAGCATAAACAGTCACACTGACAATGTGTCAACCACTCCCTCGTATTTTTGTACAATTTCCTTCTTCAATTGTATCATATTTATTATTTTTATTATTACTATTGTTATTATTAGCTGTAGCAGAAATGTTTAATTCTTTGCAGTGTTCAAGAGTAAACACATGATGTCACCGTCTAATACCTGTCCGAATAGCCATTCCAATATGCAGTCATGAATGGGTTTACATTATTTATACTGTAGTTTAATAGCAAATAATGAACAAACAAAACACTCGCCACACCGAGTGGTGGGAGGGCTGGCTGCCAGTTGCGGGGGTCGGAGGGAGGGTAGTAGGGACTCGCAGGTGGCGGGATACTTAAATATGATTTGGTGGCTGGGAATTTGGCGGTTGGGAATTCGCAAATGTGTGAAGCCTGTGAATGTTGAGGGAGACCTGTACTATAGCACATAGGAGAAAAAATAAAATTATTGCCTTCATGGCCATTTATTCTATCTTGTGCAGAATAGATGAAGCAGTGTTCTTTACAACAATAATAAGCACATTAATAAAAAATGTGAAAGCCTAAAAAAATAGAAAACATTTCAACAAAAGGTGAATTTATTGACAAACGTTTGACATTAATTACAAACTATTTGTATCTTGTCTTTGTGAGGTTTAACCCTTAAACTGTCCAAACAAATTTATGTTCATATGTGTAGTGCTCCAAAAGTAGATCTACGTTGTTTTACATATTTTCAAATATAACAAAAAAAAAAAAAAAGTAGATCAAAGTTTTTTTTACACGTTTTCAAATGTAAAAAAAAGATCTACTTTTTTTCAATATTTGAAAGTACGTAAAAAAACGTAGATTTACGTTTGGACAGTTTAAGGGTTAAAATGACCTCATCCACATTTTCACACAGTAACCTTTACATCTATAAGCCATGTGCCAACATTTATACAAATTTTGAATATAATGCACTTCATATCAAATATATTGAGAAGCATCACAAACAGTAGCTATATAAAACAAATTAAACAGTATTTTGTACATAATTTCCGTGTATAAAAATGCAATAGAGAATCCTATGTAAAACGTGCTTCAGAGTTAACTTTTTATAGGCCATGTGCTACATTCATACTATATATAATATAGCCTACTCATGACAAATTGCTTTATCACAACACTCCATGTTTACCTATTACTGTGTCACACACAGGTATATACAATCAATTTGTGTAAATAGTATATATCTGACTTATTTGAATCGAGTCATTTCTTTCCAACTTGCCCTGCCAGATCCATTAAGATCAATGTATATGGTATGTATCATTGAAGTACTGTTAGATTTGTTATACACCTGAACTGTCTTCCATACTTTCTTCATTTTCATTATTGCTTTTAACACTTTCATCTACAACTGATAAATCTGGTTCACTGGAATTCTTGGCTTCTAAGTCCCTTTGCTCAGCAAATTTATTTTTTTCATATTTGGAAGTATCAGCACCCAGCAATCTGAGATAATGAATTCGATCATTTTTTGCCACATACGCACGAACTGATTTGTTACCCTTCCAACCAACCAGTTCAATGGTCACATCATCTCCTTTGTATAGGAAAGCAATTGCACCTGTACCTGTTAAAAAAAAAAAAGACCGTAAATAATAATGCATTTAATTAATATTGCTAATCATTTGGATAAAGAAAAATAGGAAAATAATACTAGGTAAAATTTAGAATGTGAGGGGTTTATCATCTAATTAATGGCTTTGTAAATGTTGTAAAACACTTAAAAACCTCAAAATACATACATGTGAAATATGACATATAGCACTAGGATATTTATCGAGTTGTTTTGCTTAGGGAAGTTTTCCATTTCAATACAGGGATGAAAATAAGCAGGGTTTATACAGGGCGAGTTAAATGTATGCTCAACTCCTTGTGTGTATTTTCTCGTGGCCAAAAGAGTTAAAGGTTTATATTAACATGGGTTAAAGAATTAGTTGAATGAGACCTCTAATTGATCATTTTTTTTTATTTTGTTGCACATTCTTACTACAGAAGGGTTCACAATTCTCCATTTAAAGTAGACGCTCAATGGAGGTACAAGTATAATGCTCACAGGTCTGGCAAAATTCTTGAATATACCAGGATTTGCCCATACCACCCAGCATGCTTCTTGAACATGCTGACAAAGTTCCTACTGACTGTCTGCAACTCTTCCATAAATCTTGGCCTTCAAATTGCCCTACAAGTAAAAATCCAGGCTGTTTAAGGCCAGTGACGTAAGTGGCCATGCCACACACAGCAATGGATTAGAAGAGACAGCCCTCTGGCATGGCTGCCTAGGTCACCAATTGAAACCTCCCTGTATTTTTTACATGTGGGGCCATTTGAAGAGATGTGGGCAACTAGCAGGAACCTTGGAAATGTGTTCAGGATGTATGATGGGCAGATACTGGTGTATTCCAATGCACTCACCAGTCCCACGAGCGTAATGCACATGCACATGCGAGGGTGGGTGAAGCAACCTTGGCGCATCTACCATAAACAGACTTATGTGAACACTGATGTAGTAAGACCATGTATTAAGTCAAAACATATCCATTAGAGGTCTCATTCAATCACTCCTTAAACTAGCATCTTGGAAAATAAACATTTTTTACCCCATGTTCACATGAACATTTAACCGTTTTAGGCCTGAGATTACACACAAGAAGCTAGTACATACCTTTTTGACTCACCCTGTATACATTTTGCTTATTTTCATCTCTTTACTGAATTGAAAAAGTATAATTCAGAGGGTTGAGGAGGGATTGTTGAAATAGTTTGGCCACTTGTGAGGGAGTAGAGAAGGATAGCATGACAAATAGGATGTATAAATCTGGGATGGAAGGTAGGAATGGTAGGGGTCATTCCAAGAATAGATGGTGGAAGGGGAAAGAAAGCAACTGAATGAATGATGGTGAAAGTTTTCTTCTTTGGATCACCCTGTTCTAGTGGGAGAGAGCCATTGAAGCAAACAAAAAAACTGTACCTACAATTTAAAAGGCATGAAAATATGAAACACATACTAATTAATGATAATTACACTTCTACTAATGCTATTATATCAAAAATGCTATTATATCAAATTTTCATTGTGTTCAAAATACAAATCTTATGCAAGAAAATATTAACCAATGGCAACTCTATCTCAAAGATATACACTTCAATGAACAGCTTAAAAATAAACTACCAAATGTATGCATGTAAAAGAATCGCTAAGATAATTAGTTAAAATTTTCTTCAAACTGTCTAAATTCTAAATTCATTGTCTTATTTATGCTCAAGCAGTGTCAAGAATCACAAGCAACAATGAAGGACTGGTAAGACAAAAATTATGTTGACAACACAAATTTTCATATAGTGTGTTTTCTACAGAAAACAGACACTATATGAAAATTTACTTACAGAGATCTGTGCATTGTTCTTGTGTCTTTGGGTCCAACGTAACAATTTCTGGTGGCATTTCCATATCGTCATTTTGTAGCATGATTACCAAGTCATTTCTTGTCACAGTGATTTTGCGCTGGGTGATAAGAGGCAACAACACTTGGGAACCCTGTTCAATACAGAAAAATAATGTTCATCAATAAAATGACTACACTTTTTTTAATACACTTGCCGTCTCCCACCAAGGCAGAGTGACCCGAAAAAAAAACTCTTTCACATCATTTACACTATCACTATCTTGCCAGAGGCATGCAAATCAACAGTTTAGATGTCCCTCTAAACAGCAAATATCCCTACCCCTCCTTTAGGGTGCAGGCACTGTACTTCCCACCTCCAAGACTCAAGTCTAGTTAACCATTACATTGCAAATATTGAATATATGAAGGATGGGGGCCATCATGCAAACCACAAGATAAAATGAAAATGTTTATGATAGTTTGCTCTAAGTGCCATGCAAGATTCAAGTTGGGATGTTCCACCGGTCCAAGTTGGGATGCCCTGATGTTTCTGAGCATGCAGTGCCACAGCTTGCATAGACACATTAGAACTACTCGGCACATGAAACACACTGAAGAGTGATTAGTTGCTAGACCTGATGCACAAACACGTGGCAGCTCCCTGTGTGCACCCACATCATGCTTTCTAGACACTGTTGTTAACCACTTCAAACCCAGAATTGTCATATCTAGGCACCTGTGCAAAGACAGTAATTATGTGTGAATGATGGTGAAAGTGGTGAATGGGTGGGAGACGGCCAGCGTGTTGGGGGAAAAAAATAAGTCAATTCCTTCAAATGCTACTGCATTTACAAAGTACCTTTTCAAGTTTGCTTCATTATGACAGGTTTCCTCTTGGTAATAAAATCCTTTTAGCTCTAGTCTTTTTGAGATTATTCCATCTATATTTTTTGTTTACATTTTTTCTTATAAATATCAGTTTAGAAAACAAATTACAATAAGAAAACAATTTTTCTTACATCCTGAGCTAATCTGAAGTCACAAGGAGCACCTTTATTATCACTTCTCACTAAAACTTTGACACCCGTATTGATAATCTGCAAAGAGAAAAATAAAAGTATAATGTATATTTATTACTTTTCGCTAAATTAAAAAGCTTTTAAAAATATATATCTTATTCAATCCTGTCTTAATTTGGTAACTCTGTAAATAAACATTTTGAATGTAATATCCGATTCTGCTTGACTAATGACTTCTTCAATGAATCAAGTATGAACCAAGTTTAGGTTATGATTTCGATGCACTGCAATAATGGCTTTGTTCACAATGTGAAAATATTACACACACAAAATTTTCACCCACCTTAATATGATCCTGATTGACGGCAACAATGTCCTTGATAAGACTATTGGTGAAGTAGATATTTCGTTTTTTTCCTTGCTTGGTGCGACTTAAGAAAAGACCTGCATCCACCTCTTTACGAATTCCATAAAAAGCATCTATTCCTGGCCATACAACCTCGTCTGCCTCGAAATAATAGTAGGGCTCTTCTCTGAAACCTTGACGGCGCTTCTTTTTTGGTGGCTGTAGATAAAAGGAAATTAAATGAAATACCCAAAATGACCTTATTTAAATCCAAGCACATCAATTATAGTATCTCTAAGAGTGTGTATTAATGGAACTGAGAGGTGTACATGACTACTACTGTATGTGTAAGTAGGCAAGCAGTTTCATGTATAAATGAGATTTAAACAAGGATGTGGAAGTAGTGTTGAGGCATCTGTCAAAAGAAAAGTTATCAGTAGTGGCAAAATAAGGGAAATGTACCCAATTATAACTATGCTTCATATCCAGTGTATGGATATGAAGCATAATTTGAATGTTGGAAGCAGTGGAGAAATTATATTTGAGATGATCAAAGTGTGGTGTAAATATTTTACAGAAAATATGGAGAAGACATTAGAAAATGATGTGTTAGTATGAAAGGTAAAATTTAGAGTGAAGGAGAGGTTATTTACATTGTTTTGTCATTTAGAAACATAGGTGGAAGGGGTGAGCATTTAGCAGGAATGTATTAACATATTAAATAAGAGTGAGCAGAGACTGAGTTTTGGGGATCTGACATAAAAATTCATGAGAGATTCAGGAAAATCTGTCAGCTGGGCTGCAGAGGTCTGGTGGTGGGTAGTACCCTATCTTGGTAGAAAGCAACTTTTTTTTTTTTTCCAACAAATCGGCCGTCTCCCACCGAGGCAGGGTGACCCAAAAAGAAAATCCCCAAAAAGAAAATACTTTCATCATCATTCAACACTTTCACCACACTCACATATAATCACTGTTTTTGCAGAGGTGCCCAGAATACAACAGTTTAGAAGTATATACAACTTATGTGGTAAAAAAAAAAAAAAAAAAAAAAAAAAAAACACCCAATATTCAGCACATACAACTTTCTAGAGGTCTGGGAATTGTAGTCATTAAGGGTTTGCATGGGTGGAATAAGCTATTACATAAAGCCACATTATATGGAAAAAATATACTAAATCAATAGAAAACAAAAACAATTAAGTGATTATCCCTACTTGTTTAATTCTTTGTGTGTTTGTTGCAGACTGGATCTTCTCTACTTCTTGATCTTTCTCCGTGTAAACCTTTTCACCAGGGAGAGGTTTCACTTTCTCAAGCACTGCTACAAAGAAACCTCCTGTGTCTTGGTGATGAGGCAAGATTCTTACACTAAGGAATAAATATTGAATTCATTTTCTTAATTGTACAATAAACATGGTAAGACAATAATTATAACCACATAATAATTAGGGATTACCACATGTAAGGCTTACTATGTAATAAAGTAACTGGAAACTGAAGATTTCAAGATGAAGAATACAAAGACAATACCGTGACTGGGACAATACAGCCTCTCCTCACTTAGCGACATACTCGTTTATTGACGACTCGGACTTTCGATGGGCTCTCTGACCAGTATACATATTTAAATAATGTATATTAGAGCTGTTTTTCTCTATTCTGTTTATTACAATATACATACAGTACACTACTGTATAAACATTTAAAAATATACTAAAAATGTTATAAATGGTGCAAAGGTGACAGTAAGACAATATCAAACATGGCTGACACAAACCCACTACCATTATAGTATGCTCCTTGTTTAGTGACGAATTCGTTTACCAACGTGGCCTTAGGAACGGATCACCATCGTCAAGTTAGGAGAGGCCGTACACAAATAACCCACACACCGGTGGCCTGGTGGCTAAAGCTCTTGCTTCACACATGGAGGGCCTGGGTTCAGTTCCCGGCAGGGTGGAAACATTTCCTTACACCTGTTGTCATGTTCACCTAGCAGCAAATAGGTACCTGGGTGTTAGTCAACTGGTGAGGGTCGCATCCTGGGGGACAAGATTGAGGACCCCAATGGAAATAAGTTAGACAGTCCTCGATGACACACTGACTTTCTTGGGTTATCCTGGGTGGCTAACCCTCCGGGGTTAAAAATCCGAAGAAAATCTTATCTTATGGCGATGTTTCAGTCCATTTTGGATCATTCAGAAGTCCAAGATGGACCAAAACATGATCATAAGCTTGTCTCTCCCCAATTTGCAAGGTTATTTGTGTATTTTAAGGCAAGTCTAAGCAAGAAGTGAATTTATCAGAACAATAGAAAGGGACAAGCCCTTAATGTAGACATTTTGCTCATCCACAGTGAATCCTACCAAACTATTATTGTATTCACAGGAAAAAACTAAAGCCATGTGGGTCATACATGGTTTGATGAATGGAATGGAAATAGGTTTCAGTAGAGGATGAGGAAAGTGGCTCTAGTATCTTGGATGTAGAGCCCTTAACCAACATCAAGGCACCCCTTTCCCAGTGAAGTTTGATATAAAGGCTCTTACTTGTGTATACTGATTTTTTTTCATATCTCTGTTGACAGCAGGAGTGTGCCAAGTATCAATACTGGTGAGGATTGAATAATTCTGATGGTACTGGAATCAGCCTAAAACCAAGTACTGGTGGGTATCTGCCAATCTTGATGTTATTGGTATCAACAAGCACTGGTTAATATTGATTGGTATTGTCCCATCACTAGCTGACAGTCCTTGCCATAGTTAATTTTTTTTTTTCAACAAACCAGCCGTATCCCACCAAGGCAGGGTGGCCCAAAAAGAAAAAAGAAAGTTTCTCTTTTTAAATTTAGTAATTTATACGAGAGAAGGGGTTACTAGCCCCTTGCTCCCGGCATTTTAGTCGCTTCTTACAATATGCATGGCTTACAGAGGAAGAATTCTGTTCCACTTCCCCATGGAGATAAGAGGAAATAAACAAGAACAAGAACTAGAAAAAAATAGAAGAAAACCCAGAGGGGTGTGTGTATACATACGCTTGTACATGTATGTGTAGTGTGACACAAGTGTAAGTAGATGTAGCAAAACGTACCTGAAATCTTGCATGTTTATGAGACAGAAAAAAAGGACACCAGCAATCCTACCATCATGTAAAACAATTACAGGCTTTCGTTTTACACTCACTTGGCAGGACGGTAGTACCTCCTTGGACGGTTGCTGTCTACCAACCTACTACCTAGGATAGTTAAATTTATCATAAAATATTAAAAAATTGTAAGGGATATTTGTGTAAACCAAAGAAAATGCTGGACTAGTGAGATTTGTTCATGGGCTATGCTATTAGCAAGTATCCCCTTGAGGGAGATGTTTTGATGTCAGTGAAGGGCTTTTGATCAAATGAACTGAATTTTTCATCCTCTTCCTTGGACTGAACTTGACTGCCTCCCATTCACCACACTGTACGACTCGTATTAGTTTAGTGTTTCCTTTTAAATATAATAATAATTGCCATCCTCTTCCTTTTATCAAACCTAAATACTTCCCATTCCCACACACTGCATGACCCTTACAGGTTTAGCGCTTCTTCCTAGTTAAAATAAATTCTGAGCCAGTAATGACGCGAACATTCCATAGAATACCACCGACCACGTAAGTGGTGTTAATGTTGCAGTTTAAAAACTGTAGTGTAAAGCACCCTTCTGGCAAGACAGTGATGGAGTGAATGATGGTGAAAGTTTTTCTTTTTCGGGCCACCCTGCCTTGGTGGGAATCGGCCGGTGTGTTAATAAAAAAATTAAACCACCGGACCAGTAAGACCGATTAGAGGGATTTGTTCAGGAAATGTTTACTGTATAAGCTTTTGAAGTGATTTTATATTATATTTTAAGACAACTACTCCGACTTAACGAGTTCGGTTCCGAGAAACACGTTAAGTTGAAATGGTCGTAGTCGAACTTTACTACTGAATATCAACAAAACATTTTTGTAATGACTTTATTTTATTGTTTTATTTTGGTATTTCATGTTTTACTTTATTTTTTATGCTGTTAGTACTATATTTTATACTGTAAGGTTTAGGATAAACACTGTGTACAACACAAATAGTAGTTTAATTCCCAGAAATTTGGCATAAAAAACACGGTCGTAAGTCAAGTGGTCGTAAGTCGAGCAGGTCGTAAGTCAGATGGTAGGTGTATTAGTTTATCTATGGAAGTAAGAAAAAGGGAATGTAGCAGAGTACTGTGGCACCAAAACTTACATGGGCTAAGAACCCTGCAGTGAGAAGGCTAGAGGCAGTGGAGACACATTTGAGAGTGATGTGTGGTGTGATTATTATGCAGAGGAATCAGAATGTAGAAATTAAAAGGCAATGTGGTCACCAAAGATATAATTCAGTGGACTGAGGAGTAGTTGAGGTGGTTTATGCATGTAGGAGGGTAGAGGGATATGATGATGATGATGATGGTGGTGTATAAATCTGGGGTGGAAAGTAGGAGTAGTCGTCATTCAGGAATGGCTGGAGGGAAGGGATAAAGGAGCTTTGAGTTTCAGGGGACTGAGCAACCCGCAGGCTTGTGTAAGCACGTACAATAAGAATAGATGAAGGCAAGTGTATTAATGGAAGTACTATTGGAATGTGAGCAAAATAACATTTATGAAGGAATTTGGGGGGAAACCAGCAGATGTGGAGGTGGGAAGGACAGTGCCTGCATTCTAAAGGAGGGGTGGGGACGCTGCAGTCGGAAAGTAATTTGATCTGCGATATCAACACATTTCTGGCTAGACAGCAATTGAATGAAAGATGGCAAATATGCTTCCTTCCTTAGATCACCCTGCCTTGGTGGGAGACAGCCGTGAGGGAAAAAAACACAAGAATACAAGGAATAGAGGAGAACTGAAGCAGGTCTACTGGCACACAGTAAGTCCTTCTCATACTCAACCATTCAGACTCGTATATTTATCTAACCTATTATTTGAGGTATCAAAGATGTTAGCTACAATTACGCCACTAATCAGAAGCTTAAAAAACTAATATATACTGTATATTATTCAGACATTACTTACCATCTACCGAGTTTAAGTTTCTCTCTAATTTCAGGAGATGGTGGGAAAAGATGTTTGTTAAAGAGATTCGTGTTTTTGACAGGTATTTCTTCAACAGACTTGATCATCTCCATTTCCCGATTCATTAATATCCAATCTTCCAGACCCGGCACGAACTGGAACCAAGAATTTTTTATTATCCAAGTCAAATATTTACAGGTCTCCCTCAACATTCACGTTTTCAACTTTCACGGGCTTCACACATTCGTGAATTCCCAACCGCCAAATTCCCAGCCACCAAATTCCCAGCCGCCAAATCATATTTAAGTTTCCCCGCCACCTGCGAGTCCCTACTACCCTCCCTCCGACCCCCGCAACTGGCAGCCAGCCCTCCCACCACTCAGTGTGGCGAGTGTTTTGTTTGTTCATTATTTGCTATTAAACTACAGTATAAATAATGTAAACCCATTCATGACTGCATATTGGAATGGCTATTCGGACAGGTATTAGACGGTGACATCATGTGTTTACTCTTGAACACTGCAAAGAATTAAACATTTCTGCTACAGCTAATAACAATAATAGTAGTAATAATAATAATAATAATAATAATAAATAAATAAATAATAAATAATAAAATTAATAAAAAAATAAATAATAAATAATAAAAAATAAATAATAAATAATAAATAATAAATAATAAATAAAAAATAATATAATAATAATTAATAATAATAATAATAATAATAATAATAATAAAAAATAATAATAATAATAATAATAATAAAAATTAATAATAAAAAATAATAATAATAATAATAATAATAAAATAATAATAATAATAATAATAATAATAATAATAATAATAATAATAATAATAATAATAATAATAAAAATTAATAATAATATAATAATAATAATAAATATATAATAATAATAAATAATAATATAATAATAATAATAATATAATAATAATAATAATAATAATAATAATAATAATAAAAATAAACATGAAAGGGGGTAAGGCAGCCGGGATTGATGGGATAAAGATAGAAATGTTAAAAGAAAGGTGGGGGGTGTAGTTTTGGAGTGGTTGGTGCAATTATTTAATAAATGTATGGAATAGGGTAAGGTACCTAGGGATTGGCGAGAGCATGCATAGTTCCTTTGTATAAAGGCAAAGGGGATAAAAGAGAGTGCAAAAATTATAGGGGGATAAGTCTGTTGAGTATACCTGAAAAAGTGTATGGTTAGAGTTATTATTGAAAGAATTAAGAGTAAGAACGGAGAATAGGATACAGATGAACAAGGAGGCTTTAGGAAAGGTAGGGGGTGTGTGGACCAGGTGTTTACAGTGAAGCATATAAGTGAACAAGTATTTTAGAGATAAGGCTAAAGAGGTCTTTGTGGACTTTATGGATTTGAAAAAGGCGTATGACAGGTGGATAGGGGGGCAATGTTGCAGGTGTATGGTGTTAGGAGGTAGGTTACTGAATGCAGTAAGAGTTTTACGAGGATTTGAGGCTCAAGTTAGGAGTATGTAGGAAAGAGGGAAATTATTCCCAGTAAAAGTAGGCCTTAGACAAGATGTGTGATGTCACCGTGGTTGTTTAATATATTTATAGATGGGGTTGTAAGAGAAGTAAATGCAAGGGTCTTGGCAAGAGGCGTGGAGTTAAAAGATAAAGAATCACACAAAGTGGGAGTTGTCACAGTTGCTCTTTGCTGATGACACTGTGCTCTTGGGAGATTCTGAAGAGAAGTTGCAGAGATTGGTGGATGAATTTGTAGGGTGTGCAAAAGAAGAAAATTGAAAGTGAATCAGGAAAGAGTAAGGTTTGAGGATAACAAAAAGATTAGGTGATGAAAGATTGGATATCAGATTGGAGGGAGAGAGTATGGAGGAGGTGAATGTATTCAGATATTTGGGAGTGGACGTGTCAGCGGATGGGTCTATGAAAGATGAGGTGAATCATAGAATTGATGAGGGGAAAAGGGTGAGTGGTGCACTTAGGAGTCTGTGGAGACAAAGAACTTTGTCCTTGGAGGCAAAGAGAGGAATGTATGAGAGTATAGTTTTATCAATGCTCTTATATGGGTGTGAAGCAGGGGTGATGAATGTTGCAGCGAGGAGAAGGCTGGAGGCAGTGGAGATGTCATGTCTGAGAGCAATGTGTGGTGTGAATATAATGCAGAGAATTCGTAGTTTGGAAGTTAGGAGGTGCGGGATTACCAAAACTGTTGTCCAGAGGGCTGAGGAAGGGTTGTTGAGGTGGTTCGGACATGTGGAGAGAATGGAGCGAAACAGAATAACTTCAAGAGTGTATCAGTCTGTAGTGGAAGGAAGGCGGGGTAGGGGGCGGCCTAGGAAAGGTTGGAGGGAGGGGGTAAAGGAGGTTTTGTGTGCGAGGGGCTTGGACTTCCAGCAGGCATGCGTGAGCGTGTTTGATAGGAGTGAATGGAGACAAATGGTTTTCAATACTTGACGTGCTGTTGGAGTGTGAGCAAAGTAACATTTATGAAGGGGTTCAGGGAAACCGGCAGGCCGGACTTGAGTCCTGGAGATGGGAAGTACAGTGCCTGCACTCTGAAGGAGGGGTGTTAATGTTGCAGTTTAAAAACTGAAGTGTAAAGCACCCTTCTGGCAGGACAGTGATGGAGTGAATGATGGTGAAAGTTTTTCTTTGTCGGGCCACCCTGCCTTGGTGGGAATCGGCCAGTGTGATAAAAAAAGAAAAAAAAAAATAAACATGATATAATTGAAGAAGGAAATTGTACAAAAATACGAGGGAGTGGTTGACACATCGTCAGTGTGACTTTGTTTATGCTGGAGTGAACATTAGTCTCCCTGCTCTTCCAAACATTTCACAATAATTCATTGTGTTTGGTGCTTGTAGATTGAGTGTGACTGGAGTGGTAGAGGCAGTGATTGAGGCAATGGTATTTAATAACATACATGTTAATAATAATACATGTTATTAATAATATGTACTATTATTATTTATAACATATATGTTATTAAATTTCTTCTTCTTATTCTTTTTAGTAATCTTTACAGGAAAAGGGGTTACTAGCCCATTGTTCCCGGCATTTTAGTTGACTTTTACAACACGCATGGCTTACGGAGGAAAGATTCTTATTCCACTTCCCCATGGATATAAAAGGAAAAGTAATAAGACCAAGAACTATTAAGATAAAATTAAAGAAAACTCAGATGAGTGTGTATAAATAAACGTGTACATGTATGTGTAGTGTGACCTAAGTGTAAGTAGAAGTAGCAAGACGTACCTGTAATCTTGCATATTTATGAGACAGACAAAAGACACCAGCAATCCTACCATCATGTAAAACAATTACAGGCTTTCGTTTTACACTCACTTGGCAGGACGGTAGTACCTCCCTGGGTGGTTGCTGTCTACCAACCTACTACCTACTTTTTTACTCTTTTTTTTTTTCTCTTTCTTTTTTTTTTTTTGGGTCACCCTGCCTCGGTGGGAGACGGCCGACTTGTTTAAAAAAAAAAAAAAAAAAATGTTATTAAATACCACTGCCTCAACCGCTGAATTATTGTGAAATGTTTGGAAGAGCAGGGAGACTAATGTTCACTCCAGCATAAACAAAGTCACACTGACGATGTGTCAACCACTCCCTCGTATTTTTGTACAATTTCCTTCTTCAATTATATCGTATTTATTATTATTATTATTACTATTGTTATTATTAGCAATAGCAGAAATGTTCGATTCTTTGCTGTGTTCTAGAGTAAAGACATGATGTCACCGTCTAATACCTTTCCTAATAGCCATTCCAATATGCAGTCATGAATGGGTTTACATTATTTATTCTGTAGTTTAATAGCAAATAATGAACAAACAAAACACTCACCACACTGAGTGGTGGGAGGGCTGGCTGCCAGTTGCGGGGATCGGAGGGAGGGTAGTAGGGACTCGCAGTGGTGGAGGAATTGGTGGAGTCTGTGGTATTTAATAACATACATGTTATTAACATACATGTTATTAAATAACATACGTTATTAAAGCATAACATGTATATATTTAGTACAATTTACGACGTTTTCATGTATTTTATGATTATTCATGGTTCAACAAGTTAAGGAAGCAGTATTGTAATATATTTCCCTACAATATATTGGGGCACCAAACATTCACGGTTTTTCAACATTCGCGAGGCTCTTGATCCCCTAACCCTCGCGAATGTTGAGGGAGACCTGTATATCATTGTTTACAGCAGAGGGTTTTCCCTCTCTCTCATTACCATAATGCAATAATAAGCCCAAGAAAGCTGTAGGTAAATGCTAAAAAATGCTAGATGCGAGTCTGAAATGTAAATAATATGACAATTTTTCTACAAGTGCACGAGATGATTTTCTTTACAATAATAAATAAATTACAATACGTACAATGGAGCTGATTTTCTCTATTCTGTTTATTACAATATACAGTACACTACTGTATAAACATTTAAAAATATACCAGAAATGTTATAAATGGTGCAAAGGTGACATTAAAACAATACCAGAGATAGTTGACACAAACCTACTACCATTTTAGTATGCTCCTCACTTAGCAACGAATTTGTTTACCAACGTGGTCTTAGGAATGGAACTCCATTTTTAAGTGAGGAGAGGCTGTATTGTACATAAAAAAAAAAAAAACATTTCATAGCAAGAACTTTCAAAATGTCAAAATACTGCAGCATAAATTCAATAACACTTTTGTTACCTTAAGTCCAGGTAACTGATCTGACACATTGACCAGCTGAACAGAACCATCTGCCTCAACAAGTAGCCTTTGAATGATAGCCTCATTTTCCAAAGGGTTGAGAGAACAAGTCGAGTATACAAGTCGTCCTCCAACTGTCAGCATCTCCAGCCCTCGACGTGCTATTCTTAGCTGCAAGCTGTCAAGACAATGTGATACACATTTTAACATAGTGTTGGGAGACAATTAAATACCGATACTTGATATTTAAAACCTACTGATATATGCATATTTATATGCTTGTGTGTTATTTCCAGGAAAAAACCTACCCATGAAGATTTGCACCATTCACAGGATTCCACTTGGTCCAAACATCGAAGTTTTTTCGCATGGTACCATCTCCTGAACACGGAACATCGCAAAGAATCCGATCAAATTTAATGGGTCCAACACTTCCATCTGTAATGACAAATATCATACAGTGAAACAATTTCTAGAAGATTGTTAGTTGCAAAACTTTATAGCAAAGCCATGAATATTAATGTTTTCTGTCTGCATGCAATGAAATGTAATAAACTATATAAATAATGTATTATGGAGAGGGACAGGATAATGAAAAGGGTGCATAATGCTGGAGTGGAAGAAAGGGGTAGGAATTATTCCAGGAACCACTGGAAGGTGTGTGTGTGTGTGTGTGTGTGTGTGTGAAGGGTTTCGAGTGCCAGAGGCTTGAGCACTCGGTAGGTTGAGATGAGCATGTTCAATTGGAGTGGAGACAAGTGATTTTTAATGCTTAACATGCTGTTGGGGTATGCACAAAGTAATGTGTATGAAGGGATTCAGGGCAACTAGTTAGATGGACTTGCGTCCTGGATGCGGGAAGAATAGTAGTAGTTACCAAAAATAAGGAAGTCACTAAATAGAAAGTGATGGCTAATGGGACAACAGGTGTACCAGTACTGCTGTACAGCCAAACTCCTAAATCTGTGATGGTCAGGTTCCTTGAACTTCCTGAAAATTCAGAATCCACAAGTGCCACTAAATTCTGTTGTCTGTATAATAAATTTTCCTTCTGATCGCAACTCATTTTTGTGTCAGAAGGCATATCTCTTTAAATATTGCTTTAACTCTCATTAATATTGAAATTCATAAGAATGTTTTTATAGAAAAAAATTAAGAGATTTGAGAGTAGGGAAATCCAGAGAGTACATTCTGAATGAAATCCAGTTGTGCACTAAGCCAAAACAAACTGGGCACTATTAAGAAAAGAAAAAAAAAAACAGAGACCTTTCAGTGAAAACAATGGATAAGACAATGGAGGCACACAAATTTCAGAGTTGGACTGTATGCATTATATATCCTTTTAAAGATGCAAGTTTGCAGGAGTACTAATAAAATAAAAGTACACACTGTATAGGCATGTTGTTCCAAGTATTCAGGTTAACCAGTAAAACAAATTTTACATTCAATTTTATTACCTTTACGTGTATGATGAATGTTAGGCATAAAGGCAGCATCATGATTGGTGATAATTATAGCAGGGCTTTGTAGGCGTTTGGCCTGGTGTGTCAGCATATAACAGCGACGATTGTCTGCATCATTGAGCGACTACAATTCCTTGAGGTATGGCAGCCGATAACTCATCCTCAGAACTGTGAAGGAACTCAATAAGTTGAGCAGTTTTGCTTCCAGGTGCAGCACACATATCCAAAATCTGTTGGCAAACACAAGCATAAACAAAAAATTTCCTTTGACTTTCAAATACAGGTACAGTACTGAATCTATCTACATTAAATATTCTGTTTCTAATAAAGGTGAACTTTGAACACTTATCTCATCTTTTAAATATAAGAGCAACTAAATTTATCTATATTTATATGTATTTTTTGACACATTGTTATTTAGTGGATTTCAGAAATATTAAGGTCTACTTAAAATAAACACTGATCCTACTTGCCAACCATATATCCCATCAGGTATGGTCAATTAAATAAGTTTTTTCAGGACATCCCAAAGTTAGTGCTACCTACAGGCACTTGTGGTTGAAATGCAATAACAAGTGAATTTATGGCGAGGAATCATTGTAATGAATTTCAGAAAAAATAATAAAGGCTTTCTCAATTAAACATGTACAAAACAACTGCGAGGTGCCCCATTACAGACAAGTGTTGCTGAAACGTAATCAGAAACAATACTTCAGCATGCACTGCAGCGAATTTCAGAAGAAAGTGACATAATTCACAATTTATCTAAAAATTACTTTACAATGAAGCTTGTTAATGACACCATTAACAGATACGATCATGTATCAAGGTACCACTGACATTACAGTAAACTTAATAAGAAAGCATTAAATCTTAAATGATTTACTGTTAAACAATTACCTTTGTCCCACTGGTGAGAACCATTTATAGGGAGACACTAAGTAGCTGCAATGAAATGGCTAATAAAGCTTTTTTGGGCAAAATATCTATGTAACAAATTACAATTTCATGGTTCATATAAGATCTTTTTTTAACAAGGTTTCACTGTGGATAATTTCAGAGGAAAGCACAAAGCCATTCATGACATACAACACAGAAAAAGGTTTTAATTACTGCTCACTGGTGTTACTGCCAATGGACAAATGATCTTATGAAACTGTATGACTAGAAAAATTTTAGAAAACAACAATTCATGATTTGTCTTGAAATAATTTTTAAAACAACTCGCTGATTATGCTAGCCATGAGAAATGTGACTGAAAAAAAGTGAATTTCATAAAAGCAAAATTTCCAGGCTATATATTATCCAAAATTAAAATTTTATAGAAACAGATGAACAGACATACGGAACATATGCCCCACATCATATCAGTGACTTGTAAAAACTGAAACACACTAGAAAGAGAATTTTCTGTACATGTGTGTTAATTCTCTTATAATACTATTCATGACATTTCACTATAAACATCTAGACTCAGCTGTCTTATTATTTGCAGTGAAGTAAATTCAAAGCTGGTAACTAAGTACAGTGGTACCTCAAGTTACGAACTTAATTTGTTCCAGAAGGCTGTACGAGTGCCGATACCGAACAAATTTGTTCCCATAAGGAATAATGTATATTAGATTAGTCCGTTTCAGACCCCCAAAAATACACTTACAAAAGCACTTACCAAAATACACTTACTTAATTGTTCGAGCTGGGAGCTGTTCGAAACTCGAGGTATCACTGTATAACGAATAAAGAAAAAAAAAAAAACAGGTACATAAAATCGCTGCTATATACAGTACAGTATATATAGTACACAGAAAATGTAAAGAGAAAGCAGTTTCTAAATATCAGGCAAGAATTACCTTGTGATGAGGCTGAACATCAAGAACAAGTGGAGGAATCATACTGACTGCTTCCTGGCGAGATATGTTTCCAGTTTCAGTCTCAGAGATGAGGAACTGATGAAGCTGCCAGTATGCCTCACATCGACGGATGTTACGACGAGTTAAATTTAGCTGCCAAGCCAAATTATCTGGATACCTTGAAAGATGGATATAATGGTTTGTTACTTTCACTCTTAACAGCATTTCAAAACTGACTTTTTTAATTATTCTGATTACAAATGATAAACCTGGAACAAGGAAAGTACAACAATTTCATTAAGATTTCTGTTGAGGAACCAGATAAGTAGTGCGTAAACATGTAATTAGCACAATTTAGTAAATATAGTACATGAAAGCACAAAAGGTAATGAAGTTAGCATTATTTTTTTAAACACTGCATTTCTTTTTTTGTATATGATACACACTTTCTTTTCTTGGTAAAAATAAATTAAGATATGGAGACACTCAGTTTTGGTAAATTTATTTAGCATAATTTTGTCTTATATTTTTAGCAGTTGTTTTTGGATGAAATGCATAACTTTTTATGTGATAATTTAATGCACATATGGTGGGCTAATATTTTTAGGGGGGTGACAACAGTCAAAATTGAAAATCACAAATATTTAACTAAACTCTTAATTAATTTTCTATTTTAGAAATACAGCCTCTCCTCACCTAACGATGGAGTTCTGTTCCTAAGACCACGTCAGTAAACGAATTCATCGCTAAGCAAGGAGCATATCTCTAATAAACATTATTTAGATATGCATACTAGTCAAAATGTCCTGTCGTAAGTCCGAGTCATCGGTAAATGAGTACATCGTTAAGTGAGGAGTGGCTGTACTACCTACCACAAAGGAAATTATCCCTACCATGGCAAACAAACAGGTTTCAAAGGTTTTACTGGTTCCTCCCCAGCATCAAGCTCTTCTTGGGTGAGTTCTGGTGGAACAAGTTGAGACAGAGGCTCAAAAAAAGTCTTCTTCATAACATGCAGCAACGAACGAGCCATATTTTTGTTCCCAGTGAGACGAAATGCAGCAGGCAGGTTCTCCTTCATACACACAATGAATGCATCCCACTCCTCCTCTGGGACAATCTTCTGAGCCTATCAAATCAGAAGACCGAACAAAACCATCATAATAATTATCCCATTTGTATACATATACAATATTCTTTCAAACTACATATGCAATATTAAATATTTTTAGAAAGTTAAATAAGAAGCCATATAATGTCATATGATCATAGACATAATAGAGGCTCTCTTTGCACTGCAACCCATTATTGTAAATACATAATCTCAATGTACTACTCGCAAAAAATAAATTTGAAATTTGACTTTCACCACATTATACTGTGTGTTATTTATACACACACACTGTATACAGTATTCTGTGTATTTACATGCACACACTGCATATACCATGTGTATTTATATGTACAGTAGATCATCAATTATCCAGCAATTGGTTATTTGACTTTCAACAGATCTGTGAAGCCAGCTTGCAGAGTTGGCTTCACAGATCTATATTTCACAGATCTATATTTTATAAAAGGATAAAAGGTAAAATACTGAAGTATTCTGTACAGGAGATGAATTTACTGCCAGAGAACTTGCAAATACTAAAGGATTAGTTTTAGAAGTATACTGAATACTATAGTAAACTATACTGTAAACTAACATTTCTTTACTACTGCTGAAGCTATAGTAAGGTATAATATATGAGAACAGATTCAGTCATATAAATTTTATACTGTGCAAATATAAAATACTATAAAGTTAAAACAATGCATTACTGTACCTTATAGTACGTCTCAAAATCCTTATTTTCTCGTATGAGTTCTTCATAATTAGTAGTTGGAGGCCTTTCCTTTTTGGGACGCTGAAAAGACAGTACAAGTCATATTTAAAACCTGTAAATTATTACACTCATTTGGGCCCCTCAAAGGTAGCTCCTTGATGCTGGTGAGGGGACTTTTGATCTAAGGAATTGGATCTACGTGCCAATTCCTTGAATCGAGAGTGAATGCATTCCATTCTTCCAGGCATTGTATGACCCCTATAGGTTTAGAGCTCCTTGTGAATGTAATAATAATAAAACATTGATAAGGTTAAGCTCATAAGCTGACTACCTTCCATTGTCAGTTCCTGGGATAATGGAAGGCAGTCAGGGTCAATTCAAGGAAAGGAAGGATAGGTCCAATTCCTTGGATGACTATAATTCATTATTTTTATTACATATTATATAGGAAGAAGCTCTTAACCCATATGGGTCATAGTGCCTGGGGAATGGGAAGCCATCAGGTTTGGTCCAAGAAAGGTGCTCATGGTTTAATTAGTAGCAGCCTCAGCTCACAGACTGAGGTTCGTTCTCCGTATGAGAGGAAACACTAGGCATGTTTCCTAACACCGTCTGTCCCTGTTCACCTAGCAGTAAGTAGGTACCTAGGTGTTAGTAGACTGTTGTGGGTCACATCCTGGACAAGAGGATTAAAGGACTCCACTCTAAATAAGCCAGAGTCAGATGACATGGTTTTATTGGGTTATCTTGGTTTACTAACCATTTAGGTTAGTAATCAGAAATCTTGTTTTCAGTAAGTTTATTTAGATACAGGTCCAAAAAAAATATAATTATCACACATAGTAGCGTATGTGTAAATTACCTAGGATAATCCCAATGTTAGACAATGTGACTCATCTCCACTGGGGTCCTTGGATCAAGAGCCCCCTAACTGGCATCAAGCACTTCTCTTGAGGAACAGTAAGTTTATCCAGGCATAACCGCAGTCTTTGTATGATCATAATTCTCTCACATTGTGTAAATTACCAAGGAGAACAAGAAAAAAAAGTATAATTTGACTTAACATTAGAGATTCTAAGCTTAAAAAAACCACTATTTTACATCCACTGTGTTACTGACGATAATGAAAGCAACATAGGATGGACTTACCTGCACCCTGTTCTCGGCTCCCTCCTTCATTTTGTGCTGTTTTTTCCATTTTCTTCCCATATTTTCGTAGATTGAAAATTCAGATAGCGAGCGCGTGTCCACTTGCTTGTGTTGTTGTTTGGAAGGAAAGATTCACACAGCCCGAGGACCGTCTCAACCATAACACTGAAGATCTACCAACGAACACAGTGGAAATATATCATAGGATCCCGGTGGAAATAAGTCTAGGGCTCCAATGGAAATAAGACAGGGACCCCAATGAAAGTCAAGGGCCCCAATGGAAACAAGTCAAGGATCTCAATGGAAATAAGTCAGGGACCCCAGTAGAAATAATTTTATCTGATTTTTTGGGTTATCCTGGGTAATTTACATGTTACTAAATAAACTCTTATCATTTAGAGACGTGCAATTTCATTATTTTATTAGTGTTATATAAATATGCATAATTTTGCTAAGTATTTGATCCAAATCTCTTCATTGCTAATAATGGCATCTCTAGTCTTGAGATAGTATCCACATATTGCATTTGGCATTAATAATAAAGGTATACAATAGCGATAAATGATGGAAGACACCATTATTATTATAATCAAAAAGAAGCGCTAAGCCACAAGGGCTATACAGCTGGAAGACACCAAATGTATATGCTTTATGACAGAAACGTTTGGTTCCCGAGAACTTGGTCACTCCAAATGTAAAAAGGGTAAGAAAATATAAACTTTTTAGTAAATAGCCAGGCTCCTGAGTCCAGAAGTTTTGTCTAGTGTCGTTTCACTTGACCGTATCTGTTGGTGGACTAATTGATGCTTGATTCATGATCATGTGTGTTAAATAAGATTTTATTCTGAATTAAACCCGGGGGAGGGTTAGCCATCCAAAATAACTCAATAATGTCATTGCGTCATCTGGGACGGTTAGTCTTTTTTTTACATAGGGTTCTTTTAATCTTCAAGTGCAACTCATAAAAGTCGACTAACACCCCAATCGAGAAGGGTTAACCGGTGTAAGGAGTAATGCTTACAGTTTCACCCTGGCTGAAGAGCAATTTCTAAACCCTCAGTGCACTGAGGCCGCTATGATCAGGGCCGGATTTAGAGAGCGTATGACAGAGCTGCGCCAAACAGCCTGGGAACAATTTATCAATGGTCTCAATGATCACACCCCATTTAGCCGGGCACGGTGGGACACACCGAATTAAGGGTAATAGAACTGGTCAGATCGCGCACCCTCATCCCTTACATAGGGGGAATGAGTTAGTCAGTGCTTGAGCTGCCACATCTAGCTATGACAATCTTCCCAGTATCACACTAACACAGTAACAATACTGTGTTAGTCCCTTAGTAATTGCCAAGTGACAACTTTCCCCTTCTATTCCCCTCCCCATCACCCTCCCACCAGTAACAACTAACTACTCACCCCCAAACCCCTCCGCCAGCAGCCAACCCCCCGACCCTTCCCCTAACGACCTTCCCCCTCCCCACAAACAACCACTGACGTCATAACCCCCCTCCCCACAAACAACCACTGACGTCATAACCCCCCTCCTCCAGGTCAATGGCGCCTTTAGCCATGGAGGTCAAGAATAGTGGCGCCACTAGTCACTCCTCTGCCATCCACCACACTATCAATACCTCCAGTTCTTCCAGTTCCATCAACCTGTGGTAATTTACAAAATTTGGATTACTCTATTTTCATGGTAATTTTTGATATATCAGCTTTGAAAATATTTTAGCAATTTTTCTTTCTGCAAACTGTTGAAGAAAGCATTTTAAATACCGACTACAAACTGTCGCTTACTTCAGTTCATAAATCCAGTAATGTCCATACTTTTATCTTTGCAGATAGTTGTGGGGTGTTGCTGTTGCTGCTGCTGCTGACATCACTGAAGACTTGCAGCTGCCCACATGGACAATATCTTCAACCTGCAAGATTCGATTAACTTAAGAACATTTTAATTAATGTAATAAATTTATCACAGTAAAGAAGTGTTCGAGGAACACACAGACGAGCTTCAACTGCTGTATTTGTCAGCAGGAAAACATTCACACAATTCGGGAGCTTTAAGTTCGGGGAAAAAAAAAAAAATATATACCTACCCCAACCCTACTAACAATAGTAGTAACGAGGCGGATAGCCTCAATACTGCTATTAGTAGTAGTTTGAGTTATGATACATTTTTAAAATTTCATGAAAACGTTACGACACTGGGTATTGGACAGTCAGTTACAACACTATCTTCAGTGCAAACGCTTCCACGTGAACAAGAGTCTTCTAACACAGGCTATTATGATCGCCTCTTGTCTCCAGTGTTCTGTCTTGTCAGGAGGATTCTGCGGCAATTAAGAAAGTTGGAGGGTAAACTCCGTAATATACAACTTACCTGGAGAGAGTTCCGGGGGTCAACGCCCCCGCGGTCCGGTCTGTGGCCAGGCCTCCTGGTGGATCTCAGCCTGATCAACCAGGCTGTTGCTGCTGGCTGCACGCAAACCAACGTACGAGCCACAGCCCGGCTGGTCAGGAACCGACTTTAGGTGCTTGTCCAGTGCCAGCTTGAAGACTGCCAAGGGTCTGTTGGTAATCCCCTTTATGTATGCTGGGAGGCAGTTGAACAGTCTCGGGCCCCTGACACTTATTGTATGGTCTCTTAACGTGCTAGTGACACCCCTGCTTTTCATTGGGGGGATGTTGCATCGTCTGCCAAGTCTTTTGCTTTCGTAGTGAGTGATTTTCGTGTGCAAGTTCGGTACTAGTCCCTCTAGGATTTTCCAGGTGTATATAATCATGTATCTCTCCCGCCTGCGTTCCAGGGAATACAGGTTTAGGAACCTCAGGCACTCCAAGTAATTGAGGTGTTTTATCTCCGTTATGTGCGCCGTGAAAGTTCTCTGTACATTTTCTTGGTCAGCAATTTCACCTGCCTTGAAAGGTGCTGTTAGTGTGCAGCAATATTCCAGCCTAGATAGAACAAGTGACCTGAAGTGTCATCATGGGCTTGGCATCCCTAGTTTTGAAGGTTCTCATTATCCATCCTGTCATTTTTCTAGCAGATGCGATTGATACAATGTTATGGTCCTTGAAGGTGAGATCCTCCGACATGATCACTCCCAGGTCTTTGACGTTGGTGTTTCGCTCTTTTGTGGCCAGAATTTGTTTTGTACTCTGATGATTTAATTTCCTCGTGTTTGCCATATCTAATTGAAATTTCTCATCGTTAAACTTCATATTGTTTTCTGCAGCCCACTGAAAGATTTGGTTGATGTCCGCCTGGAGCCTTGCAGTGTCTGCAATGGAAGACACTGTCAAGCAGATTCGGGTGTCATCTGCAAAGGAAGACACGGTGCTGTAGCTGACATCCTTGTCTATGTCAGATATGAGGATGAGGAACAAGATGGGAGCAAGTACTGTGCCTTGTGGAACAGCTTTTCACCGTAGCTGCCTCGGACTTTACTCTGTTGACTACTACTGTGTTCTGTTAGTGAGGAAATTATAGATCCATCGACCGACTTTTCCCGTTATTCCTTTAGCACGCATTTTGTGCGCTATTACGCCATGGCCACACTTGTCGAAGGCTTTTGCAAAGTCTGTATATATTATATCTGCATTTTTTTTTGTCTTCTAGTGCATCTAGGACCTTGTCGTAGTGATCCAATAGTTGAGACAAACAGGAGCGACCTGTTCTAAACCCGTGTTGCCCTGGGTTGTGTAATTGATGGGTTTCTAGATGGGTGGTGATCTTGCTTCTTTGAAAGGGTCCTAAGATTTTTATATGGGTTGTTAGTGCTATCGGTCTGTAGTTCTTTGCTGTTGCTTTACTGCCCCCTTTGTGGAGTGGGGTTATGTCTGTTGTTTTTAGTAACTGTGGGACGACCCCCGTGTCCATGCTCTCTCTCCATAGGATGGTAAAAGCTCTTGCAGTTCTTGATGAACACTGAGTTCCACGAGTCTGGCCCTGGGGCAGAGTGCATGGGCATGTCATTTATCGCCTGTTCGAAGTCATTTGGCGTCAGGATAACATCAGATAGGCTTGTGTTAACCAAATTCTGTGGCTCTCAAAAAATTCATTTTTATCTTCAACTCTCAGTCTGGTTAGCGGCTTGCTAAAAACTGAGTCATATTGGGACTTGAGTAGCTCACTCATTTCCTTGCTGTCATCTGTGTAGGACCCATCTTGTTTAAGTAGGGGCCCAATACTGGACGTTGTTCTCAACTTCGATTTGGCATAGGAGAAGAAATACTTTGGGTTTCTTTCGATTTCATTTATGGCTTTTAGTTCTTCCCGCGATTCCTGACTCCTATAAGATTCCTTTAGCTTAAGTTCGATGCTTGCTATTTCTCTGACCAGTGTCTCCCTACGCCTTTCAGATATGACCTCTTTTAGCCGCTCTGTTATTCTTTTCCGTCGCCTGTAAAGGGAGCGCCTGTCCCTTTCTGTTTTACATCTACTCCTCCTTTTTCTTAGAGGAATAAGCCTTGTGCATACATCGAGCGCCAAGTTAATCTGTTCTAGGCATAAGTTGGGGTCTGTGTTGCTTAGTATACCTTCCCAGCTTATATCAGTTAGGATTTGGTTTACTTGGTCCCACTTTATGTTTTTGTTATTGAAGTTGAATTTGGTGAAGCCAAACCTACTCCTAATATCCCTTATACTGGAAAAAAAAAAAACTACTGAATCAAACCTGACTTACATTGAACCCCCCTCCCCCCCTTCAAACTATTTTACATATATGCACATTTACCCAAATAAAATTTCCCATAACTAGATAATAGATTATCCATAGGGGTTATGTTAGGCAATCAGGTTTGATCCAAGGAAGGGAAGGGTACTTGCAATTGCTTGTATCAAAAAACCTTCACTAGTACAAAGACATCCCCTTGAAGGGCATCCAAATTTAACATGAAGGTAATGATTCTAACTAAGACATTGTATTTCCCCTACACTTCCATGTCCCTCATAGCACACTAGACTAACAACCAACACTGGGTTATCTAACCCGTTGGAGGCCTGCCGTATACCAGTTTAACACACTCCTGTGCTAGCCTGAATTCATAACCTACCTTACCTACCAGTTATGGCTGGCATCCTAGGCACATCCTGAGGACCAATACATTCAAGCCCCCTCCCCCACTCTCTACCTCTCTCTGGGTTTCTAACCCAGCAGGGTTAATCCTATTCCCACTAATACCAATCTAAATCACCCCCCACCCCCCGTAACTATACTCATCAACATCAGATATTAGTGAATCCTTTCTGGCGACTAACACTTCATTTCAGACGAGGTTTTCATTATTTTTATCATTAACATCTGCTGTCAGCAGTATTAGACGTCACTACTTACAAACTATCAAACCAACTGCAATTCTGAACGCTAATACTTTTATGTTCAGAGGAACCTGACTGCCGCTTAAATTTTCCAAAATGACGAAATTGTGTAAACTCAATGAATCAATATTTAACTTTGCAGTTTGGCCAAAGGCATAAAATACGTAGAACACCCACCACAACCACTACCCAAAGCCCGAAACCCACCAAAATCCCCACAAAAACCACGTGCAATAACAGATTCCACACAGCTTCTGAAGGTCGTTGGTGGGTTCCAAGGCCCACAGTTCTACGTAATCTATGCCTTCGGGGGAGATTACTCTCCCCTGCTATATGCATTCATAATGCATATAGCAGATTCTCCAGTTCTATACCTTACCTATCCGACTTACCACCACCTAATTCTATAAGTTATTTTGATTGTACGTCTACAATTTAGTTTCTACTGTTATATATATAAACCACAACTATGCAGCGTACTCCAGGTATTGGCCTTACTAATTTGCAGAGCAGTGGCGGCGCAAGGGGGGGGGAAGGGAGGTAAAGATCAAGGGGGGTCTGGGTAACATCAAAGGGGTCTAGGGAAGATCAAGGGAGGGTTTAGGTAAGATCAAGGGGTCTACAAAGTTTCTGTAAATATATACTATATAACCCAATTTCAAAAATTCTCCCCCACCCCAAGACGCTCTAATAGACTCGAGTCGTAAGCGCTAAACCCACAAGGCTATACTACTGAAAATATTTTTGGGACTTCAAAGCATAAAATTACTTGGCCAGGCCCTCTACAAACCTATTGAAAATAGATGTGGTTAATTCCACATTTCTGAGGAATTTTTATTGATTTTTCCTGCTATAATATATTCTGCATAAGGAAAATGTATCCTGTCATGTGGAGCTAAAACTTTGGCTGTGTGGTTTTAAAAAAGAGGTTAGGCAAATGAGTAGTTGAGTTAGACCTGCCTAGCATGAGCCAATAGGCCTGCTTCAGTGCTCATTTCTTATGTCTTGGTAATGGATATGCCTGATTTAATAGGCTTTCCTTACACCCGACATCAGGACCTCTACCATTATCCTCACTACACTAAACTCTATAATTATTAACCCGGTAGATTAACACAGAATTACACAATCAAGTCAGGATAACATCTTTATCAGGGTATTTATGCTCCCCCACCCCTCAAGGAAGGTTCCTTGATGTTGGTGAGAGGCTCTTGATTTAGGGAATTGGGTCTGTGCTCCAGTTCCCCGAATTAAGCCTGAATGCCTTCCACATCCCCCCCAGGCGCTGTATAAGCCTCCGGGTTTAGCGCTTCCCCTTTGATTATAATATGCTCCCCCAGGATGCGACCCCTACCAGTAGGCCTGCTGCAGTGTTCCTCCTCTATATGAACAGTGGTAATGGATATAAGGGAACATGCCCACTTATGCCCGGGATCGAATCTCGGTTCTTCAGTTGACGCCACTACCAACTGAGCCATGACATTTCACACATTTCATCTCTACTTCCTACAATCTTCCAGGATGGGTATATAGGCAGCATAATGAAGATATTACACTAAAACTTCCAAAAATCTAATCAATCTTCAAGTCTAAGTTTTACAACCCATTTCTCCATTTTTTATTTCCACATCATTCAAGGTAACCTATAGAATACATTCCTCAATATTTCCTGGCCAGAGATTTCATCTCTGGTCGGGAGATAAGCTAATACTTCCCACTAAGGTACTTCTTATATCAATTGCATACAATCTTTCCTATACTCTCCCCACCACTTTCACACCTAATACAATCACTATCTGCTTCAATAACCAAACTTTAGTGGACTTATAACCTGGAAATACCTTACAAGTGGGCCCTGCCCACCTCTAACGACGTCTCCGACTGCTGCATCTCCATATAACACTAAATGTTATGGGTCAGACCATTTACTAGTGTGGTTGTCTCCACCCCTCAGACTGGTCAAAGTTGCTGTGTTGATCAATGTTGCGCAGCCGTAGGCCAAGACTTCAGTTAAAACCCCTGAAATAAAACTCCGCTTAAAAACCCAAATAACATTACAACATTTAAGGGAAAACATTACCATTTTATTAAATAGAAAATTATCCCTGAACATATCCCCCAGTAATGTTTAAATGTAAGTAAAAGCTATTTTTTTTCTTTAATAAATATTTCTTTCACTGGCCCTGATGACAAAATTTTTTCACATGGAACCCTATATCTAGATAAAAAGGCGCAATTTCCCTTGGATCAAGGACCTTTCAAAAAGTTATTTTTCAATAATGAGAAAAAAAGCCCAAAAACTGGTACCCATTATGGGTTTGAAAACCCCTGTATGAGGTTATATTTTGATAGAGGAAGGGGAGAGCTCCAGTTCCTCGATCAAAACCCCTCCACAAGGTCAATCCCCCCGCCCCCCTTCCAAGACTTGGGACCCCAAAAATTAAGGTAAAAATATTAAAAATTGACCCAAACGGTGGGGGGGGGGCCCAGGAGCTGCGTAACTCTGCTGTTTACTGACAAATACGTCACCAGAATATTTACGTTATGTAGGCGTGTTAAAAGGATGAAGCGGTAAAACCGGGGGGGGGTGGCAGAAGGAGAAGCAACAATCCTTCCTAGCATGAAGTTAAATTTACCTTTAGAAACCCTTGGGTTGGTCATTTCCTAACCTTTCTTAAAAATATTACTGATAACCTGACTAACTCCACTTACCACCATAGATGGCACTACTACACCACCAACATCACCTGATGGCATAACCACTATCACCACTATATGCCACTATACACCACCACTATAAACCTTTGTGCCATATTTACAACCATAGATGCCATACTACACCACCACTAGAATGGATCACTATCAGTACTACTAATGGTGGAGAGCTCACCCGTGGGGGTCATGGACCCTTGGGAGATAAGTTACTCCAGGTGGCATAGATCACATTCCTGATGTGATCTATGCCACAACCCAGGGCGGATTTAGACCTTGGGAGGCTGGGAACTTTGGGTTTGGGGCCCTCAACATGGAAAATTAAATGAATTAAATAAGAAATGAACTAAAATTAATGTTTAAACAGCGGTTTTCGAAAAAAAAAATATGTTAGGTTTCGAGAAGACGTTTGATTTTATATTTTTTCAATTTTTTTGACTAAAATAACTGAATATAATTTTCAATTTGTAATATATTCCCATCTACACTGTTAATAATAAGATTAAGATTTCGTTTTCGGATTTTTAACCCCGGAGGGTTAGTCCACCCAAGGATAACCCAAGAAAGTCAGGTGCGTCATCGAGGACTGTCTAACTTATTTCCATTGGGGCCCTTTAAATCTTGTCCCCAGGATGCGACCCCAAACCAGTCGACTAACACCCTGGGTACACTATTTGGCTGTAGGTGAACAGGAACAGGTGGTAAGGAATGTGTCGAAATGTTTCCACCCGCCGGGATCGAAACCCGGGCCCTTCGTGTGTGAAGCGGGGAGCTTTTGGTACCCTTTCCGGTATCTTATTGGTGGCAGTTGACCAAAAGGACACACAGTTTTCTCTGACAGGAGACCACATGGCTGAGTCTGAATCACATGGTGGTGCTTCACTGTCCATGTCTACACAAGTATCTGTAGAATGTGGTTGTGGTGATTCATCACCTTTACTATCTTGATTTGGTATGTTGTTTTTATTTTCTGCAGATGTACTTGAGAATGTTTTATCACTGATTTCATCATTGCTTAGTTAATCTTAAGTTAATTTTAAGCCAGCCCGTAATGCTATGCATAGTATAAGTGGCTTTGGCATGCTGCTCTTATCTGTATTTTTTTGTACCTCTGTATGTGTGCTCAAATTGGTAATAAATAAATAAAATAAATAAATAAATGCGGGTGGGTCCTCAGAAGAATCATCTGGTAGTGGTACTGGTTCTTCATTAGTAGCTTCTATGTTTTCGAGTAAGGAAGCAGAGAACAACTGAAAGGCGTGTTGTCTTTGCGAAGACCGCAGCATTTCCTTAACTTGATTCTTTGGAAATCTTTCTTTTCTGAGCTCCTTACAACTGAATTTTCTATGGCATTCTGGGTCTTCTGAAAAAACAAATATTCAGACTTTTTGACATTTAGTGACAATGTAGCTAGTGACACATGCACACACACGTGTGTGTGTTTGTGGATGTGTGTGTGTGTGTGTAAGATGTAATTGCAAAACGATGATATATCGCAAGCCTTTGTGAGCAACACACAGATCTAAAACACAGACACCACTGCACCACTCCATTGCCTAGCACTAAAAGTGGTCGACGAACGCACAGACACATAGCTCCAGGCCACCAGTTGACTCATTGGTCATTGACCTCTACACTGACATTAACCAGTAATAGCCCTTCTGAGGTCGACATAGCCAATCAAAGCCATACACACAATAGCTACCTCGCACACACAGACACACGCACACGCACACGCACGCGTGTGTACACCCTGGTCACCTCTGACCTCATGGTCTGGTCATTTACCTCTAAACTGATGCTAACCAGAAATAGTTAAGTCAAGTTATTCAAAGGGAGAGGGGGTTGGGGGTACCCTTTCTATTTTCTGATGTCCCACACACTCTTTATTTGTTAATTCCCTTTATTAATTAAACTAATTTTTTATTATTACCTTTTTGTTTTAAACGAAGTCCTTCGTATGGGGGGCCCTTCTGGCAGGAGGGTCCGGGGCAGTTGCCCCCTTGGCCAACTTATAAATCCGGCCTTGGCTATGATCCGAGACAGTTACATAGAAATCTCTGATTTCTATGTAACTGTTATGAGTGCAACCTTATTTTTAACAGGGTGGACTGGTAAACCAACAGAAGGCCTCGGTCTGATGACATAACTGTAGTGGCTGGATCATCAACAGGACTAAGACTCGGGTCAGAAAACACTCTACTTGTTTCCTGACGATTATTATTATAATAAAAAAGAAGCGCTAAACTTACAAGGGTCATGTTTCCTGATGAATCTTACCTAACCAGTAGGGGTCATTCAGCACTGCTGGGAAGTATGCGCGATAATAGAAATGTGCAAAAGTTAAGAATGAACAAAGGGGTAGAGTTGTGTTAAGTTAGGGGTTAGTGGGGGTGGGATTAGTGCAAGTAAGATTGAAATAAAAGTTAGTGGAAAAGATTAATTTCAGTTAAAAAGTCAAAAAGAGAGAGTTTGTGTCAGAGGTGGTACTTTCAGCAAGGATATTATTGTATTAGGGTAGTTTAGGCATCGAAAGAGGATCCGGCGTGTAATGAGAGGCAGGACAATGTATTACGATATTTTGAAAGAACATTTCTACCTGACAGTCCTACCAGGGTGGTGCTGATTTTTTCTCAATTATTATTATTATTATTATAATCAAAAAGAAGCGCTAAGCCACAAGGGCTATACAGCATTTTTTACCCCTCATTTTTCCACCGTTCTCTGCACTGGACTAATGCCAGTGATTGGCGAAACGTTTCCAGAATAAAGATACCCAAATGTTTCACAAGTGTCCCATTTATCAACTTGTCGGTTTTCTAACCATTATTCAAAGTCTCTTCCGATTTGCCCCAATGTTTGGGGCAAGTCAGATCGAAACGTAATAAATTTCTCTCATTTGAGCGTATTATTTGCAGCATGCGAACATTTACATCAACAAGTCCACCTGCCATATATTGACTTGTAGATACAATAGTGTGGATGCAAGATCCTCTAATGTGAAGGGTCAGTTCGGTGGTCTCCCACTCAGATTGGGATTGGAGAAGTTATTATTATTAATTTAAGCGCTAACCCTTAAGGGTCATGCAGAGTTGCGCGGAGGGATGTGCAAAAGTAGAAATATGCGACGGTTAGGAGTGAGCGAGGGATAGGGGTGTGCATAGTGGTTAGTGGAGGTGAGGGTTAGTGCATGGATGTAGGTAAACGTATTCCTTGGGAACATTTTTATACATTGATGGGGGAGTGCTAACCCCAGTAGCTCGGCTAGTTGACTGGTGTGGGTAACATCCTGGAGACAATTATTATTATAATCAAAAATTATTATAATCGAAAAGAATTTCTAAACCTACAAGTCTTATAATAAAAAAGCGCTAAACCTACAAGGGTCATACAGCTCAGATTCTGGGGACAAAATTGACTTAATTTTCCCAAAATGCTCTGCATAACACACATAACAAGGGGCTTTCTATATAGTAATGTGATCATGGCGTAATAGCACACCAAATGCGTGATCAAGGAATAACAGGAAAAGTTGGTAGATGGATCTATAGCTTCCTAATAAACAGATCACAGAAAGTAATAGTAAACAGAATAAAGTCTGAGGTCGCTATTGTAAAAAGCTGGTCCACAAGGCACAGTACTCGCCCTCATCCAGTTTTTCATCCTCATATCAGACACAGACAGGGATGTAAGCCACAATACCGTGTCTCCATTTGCAAATGACACCCGAATTTTCACGAGTGTCCTCCAATGAAGACACTGCTAGTCTCCAGGTTGACATCAACCAAATCTTTAAATGGGCCATATTACAACATTTACATCGGTCAGCCCTTGTAGTCCTCTTACACCTCTTCAATCTTATTTGGGCACAAGGAGTTCTTCCCCAGCTGTGGAAATCTGCCATTGTTCTCCCTTTCCGCAAACCGGGTACTACAGGACATGATGCCTCCCACTATCGCCCCATCGCTCTTACTAGTGCAGTTTGCAAAGTGATGGAACGTCTCGTAAATCGACGTTTAATGTGGTATTTAGAGACACACAACAGTCTCTCCGCTAGTCAATATGGCTTTCGTAAGGGTCGTTCTACCATAGACCCCTTACTACGCTTGGATACGTATGTTCGTAATGCCTTTTGCAATAATCACTCAGTTATTGCATTTTTTTTGACCTTGAGAAGGCATTGACACAACTTGGAGGTATATATTTTGGCCCAGGCCATTCCTTAGGCCTCCGAGGCAATTACCATCCTTCCTTAAGACTTTTTAACTG